AGTTTTCAGTTATTTTTTAACCAATATCCAATATTTTTCATGTACATATCTGCTAATGCTGATGCATAAACATTTAAAAAAATGTGGAAATTGGAACTTCATCTACCTGGATTAGCATTAGAGAAATATAAGGGAGAAATATAAAATTGATTTCTTTATGGTTACAAGTGTAGTTAAATGAATACAATGGGGACTATCTGCTGATACCAATATGAGTGTGATGTCATTGTGCCTCCCTTTTTTTTTGTTTTTTTTATTTAGTTTTTGACCAAAGAAGCCTCAAAATTGTGTGGCGAATTGGGTATAAAGACCATTGTTGCACCACATTTCTGCTCAAAAACAGCAACTGGACAGGAAAAAGCAGGAAAAATGCCCTACCAAATTAGCAATATGCATTATACCACTAAATATGCCCTGTACCTGCTTGAAAATAGGTCTAAGATGTTTTATAGACTTATAATACATATATGTAAGTCCAGTCCACTACTGTTGAAAGCAATAATAGTTGATGGATTGGTTCAAAAAATTGTGTTCAGTTTCTCTTTGTGCTTCAGCCTCCACATATAGAGTTGGTGTGGATTTTTCCACGCTAATCACTTGTGGTGTGGGTGAGGTGTGTTATGGTTAGTGTGATAAGCTAAGTGATAGGGCACTAGGTCTGCACCGGTAGAGCTGGTAACTGGGACAGTGCCAAATCTCCGGAGTGCAGAGTACACACAGTGGGACGGATTACATGATGACATAGTTTCTCTGTAACTGCAAATGTGTGCTGCTGGGGAAAAGAATAATTTTGATATTTACAAGCCCTTCAGTGAGAAGCCATTCATATTACAATGTGGAAATATTGTATGTTGTATGTGTCACAATTTTAGCGTTTACTTTAATGTTAACATTAGATATGTGATATGTATGAGAGATATGTGACCTCGTGTCTATGGCATGTGTGCTATTCTAGCTCATTGTGATGCTGTTCTCTTCTCATTATTGATTATGCTAGCTTTTCTTTTATATCTACAAACCTGTATTTCCTCAGATTTTTCTCACTTATAAGTTATAACAGGAAACTGTAGAACTGTTATTATTGCAATTAGACCTCTTCACAGGATGTGTCCATCATTAATTGAGTCCTCAAGGAAATAGAATGACCTCTGCTGAAAGCAAATGATCGAATTTCACATCCTTGAACATTCAAGGTCAATCTGGCCTGTTCTGTCTCTTTTTAGGTCAAAAGGGGCATTAAGGAATGATGTGGTCCAATTGGAAATTGGTATGGGTGAGGTGGTTGTTTTGTTTATCATTGGCTGTGAAGAGTATGAGAAGCTCTTCTGTGTGTGTGTGTGTGTTTGTCTATAGCAAATATTTCCACTTCACTGACTGTAATAGCAGGCCCATAAGTGCTGGATGTCTGAGATTAATGCCCCCCTGGGGGGGTGGGGTGGGGATTTACACTCAAAATAAAACACACAAACGCTGCCTCACCTCCACCAGGAAGAAAAAGACAAATCTCACACTCAGTTGCAGCAGTCCAGCCCCAAGCTGAGTTCATTGCATTTCATCTTTGTGAGAACGAGAATCTAAAAAAACCATTGAATTCTAATTTACTCTGTTTACCAGAGATTTATTGGTTGTGTAGAAATTTGAATTATTTAACCCATTTTGCTGGAATTACTTAGCCTGTATCGACCATCCCATGAGAATGATTCAGCATTCGAAACTCCACAACAACAGTAATTCCAGTCATTGAATTGTGTAGTAGCAATTATTCAAGGGCACTGGAGCTTTATAATCTTGAAGGTATTTCACCAGTCATCCAAGGGGCTTCAATCAGTCAAGTCGACTGGACCTGTGGTGTCTTGAGGTTTTGCCACTCATTCCATTCCGTCTTTCAAGATAATGAAGACTATTGATTTGCAATTTGCTAGTTGTTTCAGACAAACTTTAGGACAATACATTCTCCAGTACTTAATCTGCCAGACTACAAGAGTTTTGCTTTAGAAAGGCATCTTCACTGCTTAATTGCAGTCAGCTTTAGGTGTCATGTACAGGGACTATTCCAAGCAATTGCACCACAGCTTTTACTTCGGTTAATAGTGATAACTGTAATTGTGTGGGGAATAGGGGTGTTACATTTGTATTTACTGCATATTTAGAGGTTTGGCAGATTCTTTTACTTTGCCTGACATTCAAATAATGTACAAACAGATGGCAAAGTGATAAAAGCGTCACTGAATGCAGACGTAGATAGACATTTTAGTCTTATTACGTATTTAGTAAAGAAGAGCGGTCTTTTAAGAGGTATGAATTTTCTCTTTATACCAATGTAGTCAGGAGATGTTTGGACAAAAGTATGGTCAAAATTCAAGATGGCTGCTACTACTGTTTCTAGCTATATGAGGTTCTGTTGTCTGTTTCTTATATATAACAGGATGTCATACAGTGTCAGAAACAAAATAAGGAAGTTAATTTGAGATTACTGAACCAGAAGTGGGTTGACAGGCATGCAGTTGTCACAGTGCTAATTGGAATGGTATTTGCTTCCATTACGTGGTTAGCTACATAGCCTTTGAGCACCAGTACAAAACTACATAGGCAAATTTTAGACATCAAGCATGTCTTGGCTGACTGACTTACATTTAGGATAAGAGGAAAATTTTGTACATTTGATTATCGATTCACACATTTCATGAGTGCTATTATTGGGTAGGTTCAAATCAAATCAAATCACATTTATTGTCACATCACATTTACACAGGTGCGAAGGTGAGTGAAAATCTCTATATATATATATATATATATATATATACACACACATTAGACTCTAAATATGTACACATATACACAGTATACATGTTAGTATACACCAGTATTGCACCAATGTACAGTTTTTGTACAGTGATATAAGTTATGAAATAAAAGCTATGATATGTACAGCTGTACACATTGCCAGGTTCTACCTGAGATGATTTTGTTAGCATTAAATTGTAGATTGTAATGATCAGTTTGGATGGACACGCTGCCCACTGCTCTCCATGACAAAGCGCCTGCATGTCAATGCCACGTGGGTGGGCTGAGAAATCATTCAGTGACGTTGCTGCAGAGAAGTGATGACTCAGGCAAGTGGAAGAGAAGTGAACAGGTGCTTATGAGACTGATTTTAATGCTGTTTAGATTTTAAAACTGGTTTCAGTGTCAGTCTGAGTGCAGAGATTGGATCGGACAGTCATTGGCTTAATGCCTTCCACAACTAAGAGGAATGAGGAAAATCCATTAGTGCCAATTGAAATATCTGTGATTGACACTTCCTCAAGGAGAAAATCATGAGTCATACTGTGAGTAAGAGTTCTGGCAGTGCAGAATGTAATTGTGTAAGCTTTCTATTCCTCTCTGTCTGTGTCTTACTGTCTGTTTCCTTTCTACCTCCCTCTCTCTCTCTCTCCCCACTTTGTCTCCCTCTGTCTCTCCACTCTTTCTGTCTTTTACTCAATTTCTCTCTCTCTTTCTCTTCATACACTCTCTCTCCACTCTGGTTCTCTCTGCCTCACTCACTGTATTTCTTGCTATGTCTTTCTTTAGAGCAGGAGAATGATAAACCATATCCTTTCTGTTTATACCAAAATGTTTGTGTACTGACACATAACACTAACAACAACCATTTAACTGAGTTCTTTCAGAATATGTTGTTTATTTTAAAACTAACAGTCACCACTGAAAATATATGAAATACAATTTTATTTAATGTTCACTTAGTGCTTATCTTTACTACTCAGAATATAGCGTCGCTCTCGGAACAAACACAGAGGAAGATTTTATTGCTCGAATGTTGGTCTTTGATGGCTCAGGAGACTTATCGTTCTCCTATAATTCCTTGGGAGAAGTTGCATTAGACAAAAAGATACAGAGGGGTAAAGAAGAGATGAGTGTTTAATTGCAGATAAACATTAGTATTGTTATGTTGGCAAGCAAATCTGAGTGTGACTTTATTGAGTTCTATACTAAAACTCAAGAGGAGATTACGGGGCTCTTTTGCTCAGAACAAGTATCTGAGCAGCGGAAGATTTAAGCAAAAGTTTCTTTTGTCTTTTCATCTAATCTCTTAGTCGTCTAGGAGAAACTACAGAGATACTAAGGAGATCTTTTCTTTTTTTTCCTATGAGAAACCTTGTATCTATATTTTTGCTGTTTTTAATTTTTTTTACCTAATTTAAAAGTACCAGTTAGAGGTCAGCAGTATTCACATATTTCATGGATATCATGATAAATTGTGTTTATTGTGACAAGCAACATGCTTTTGTTAGCATATTGTGGATATCGTCCATACTTAAAGAACACTGAGCATATGAATGTTAAATTAAAGTGTAGAGTTTTTGATGACAGTTTTTGAACGACACTATGTCTCCGTTTTACCTGTGTTTCAAAGTATCGTGATATGTATCATGAAAATGTCTTTAAGTATTGTGATTTGTCATCCACCCCATTACCAGCTACCTTTTACACTATGTTATAAGTACATGATGAATTAACCAATAGAAATGATCTGAAATTGTATAGTATGGAAAAAATTCAGTATCAAGATATGTTCCATACATATCCTTGTATCACAAGATGTTTAGATTTGCATTCATGAAATAACTCATTCCTCCATATTATTGCTACTGTATGCTAAAAGAATATCTTACAAACTTGTCTAAGCTCGATTGGACTATTTTGTCCCTTTTTTCCTGTTAAAGCAGATGGAACTTTACACAGTACTGTAAACATTAATCAGACAGAAAATTTATTTATTACATTTTTAGGTATTTTGAGTTGGTATTTGGGTAGTTTGAACTGTTTCTGATTCACCCAACAAGTGACATAGATTGCAGTCAGTGTTTTATCTGTCAATAATGCTAAAACTAAAAATCAATAATGTTGATTTTGTGACACTGATATTATTATACCAGTACAGATGATATATGACTCAGCACTAACACTGCACTGTGTTGCACTGTCCTGTCTTGCAGCTATCCTCAACCCAAAAGTACCCAAAGAGACCAAAAGCTTCAACTTTGATTATTCCTACTGGTCACACACCTCGGTGAGTACTGTGAGAGGAATTGAAGGGAGCAAGACCTGATGACAGAAGAAAGTAAAAACACAAAAAGTTACATTGAAAAAGAGTAGATTTAATTATTTTACTCTTCTGCATGGACTGTGGACCATGTTCCAAGCTATAGCCTAACTTATTTTTAATTTTTTTTTTTTATGAACATATATTCTTGTTTGCATTAAATAAAAATAGAGATGCTTAACCTAACTTATAGTCCTACTGAGCCTACCTGTATCACAGTCCGTGCAATTACAAAAAATGTAATTCCTTTATTTTTTAAAAGTCTGCTTTTCTTTTGAGAAATTTGGGAACAAATCAAACATTTTAATAAATTTCTTTCATATTTTCAATTAAATCCGATAAAATGTTCTGCAGTCACTGCACTACCATGCATTACAGTTGAGTCTTTCCCCTTGTCCCAGTGGTAAATTGTTAGCTATGACATTTTGTGTGACATTCTTTATCAATAAATTCAATAATTTATACATTTTTATTTAGCAATATGTACCCTGTCAGCAGTTCTTTACTTAATGGATGTGAGTGGTTTAACCTGACTGGTCTGTCTCTTGTCTTGTTTGTGTCCTTGCAGCCAGAGGACATCAACTATGCCTCTCAGCAGCAGGTGTACAGAGACATTGGGGAGGAAATGTTACTCCACGCCTTCGAGGGCTACAATGTTTGCATCTTTGCATATGGCCAGACAGGTGCAGGCAAATCATATACGATGATGGGTAAACAAGAAAAGGACCAGCAAGGAATCATTCCACTGGTAAATAATAGTAATAACAATCTCATTCTCACTCATCATCTAAGCTGATTGTCTTCCTGGGTTGGGGGGGGGGTGCTGGAGCTGGAGGGGTTAACGAAATTAAAGACAACACAGTTTTGTAAAATACGAAATACAGATACAAATAGACAAAGAAACACTGGCAAAACATCAGTGTATACGCACACACATACATGCACAGGGGTTATTATCACACCAACAAAGCCTGGCTGTTTACATGCATGTTTACCCAAAGTAATAAACAGTGCACTCTTGAATAATGTAGTCTTGCCTATTTACACTCTGCCATGTGAATGGTCTCTGATAAAGCAGTTTCTAAGATTATCCAGACACCTCTGTGTACATAGCAGGTCAGTATGCCCTGCACACAGAGATAGCACGAACAAAGTCAGATCAAACAGTGTTGAGGGAAAAGCCAAACAGCAAGCTGAAGCACGTACACAAACATCTATTCAACTGCCTGATGAGGGAATAGGATAAAGGGGTATGAAGCTTCTGTCATTAACTCCCTTTCTCTCTCTCTCCCCATCTCTCAATTTCACTTCATCACTTCCTTATCAACAGCTGTGTGAAGACCTTTTCACCAAGATTAATGACAGCAATAATGACAACAGCATGTCTTACTCTGTAGAGGTAAAAACACGCACTGCTTCTCTCTTTTTCTACAGTATAAAAATAAAACCTTTTTTTGCCACACATTTACCTTCAATCACAAACTCAAAATGTTTTGGCAATAGTGCAAATTGTATTTTATAATTTAGTGACTTTATAGCAGCATGTTACCAAAATGTGACCCTTTCCAGTGTTGCAGACTAAATAACTAAACAGCTCTTGTATGAGGAGCACCAGTTGTAATACCTAAATTTTAAATAATACAAAGCTGTCAGCTTTTCTCTAGTTTGTTTCTTTTGATGATGTACATGCACGTGTGCCAACTCAGATGGTTGTATTTACAGGTCAGTTATATGGAGATTTACTGTGAGCGTGTGCGAGACCTCCTGAACCCCAAAAACAAAGGCAACCTCCGTGTAAGAGAGCATCCATTATTGGGCCCGTATGTGGAAGATCTGTCAAAACTTGCTGTCACATCATACAACGATATTCAAGACCTGATGGACTCAGGAAATAAGGCCAGGTTATTCAGCTATTCTATTCTATTCTATTCTATTCTATTCTGAAGCAGTAGAACACAAGATGGAAGTGTGTTATCGCAAATCATCATGGCTGGGCTATCATTCACAATAACACAACATGAGATGATCTATTTTTTTGCCATATAAAAAAAGTGAAGTGAATTGGCTTCTTATTTCAAGTATATGTTTTTAATATTGGCAGTTTCTTCTGTAAGTAAATAGCTTCAGCAGCTTAGAGTAAAGTGACCATTTTGTTATTTAGTCAGCGGTTGTCTATGGAATAATGTAGGTAAGGTAAAAAAATGTGCTGTTATCCAGTGCCAAAACATGACTATTAGAACTTGGTCTTCAGTTTCGGCCATGAATGTCAAAACTCATTTAAAGAATAAGGGAATAACCCCACCTCTACAATTATACTAATTTCTGCTAGAAATCCTTATGGGATTCTAGTTCTATGTTAGTGCAAAGCTAACATGAACACATTTTGGCTGAAAAAGAAACATTTGAAGCTTGTAAGAGACATATTAACATGTATTTTGCCTTGTATCTAGGGCTGTCACAATTATGAAATTTTAGCTTTAATTAAATGTGATTATTGTTTTTTTTTGTTCTTTTTATGCTACTATTAAAGTACAAGCCTAAAGTGGCCAAGTTGGCTGATGAGCCATCTTATTTGCTAGCGATGTTTACTTGGTAGCTAAACAATACACTACACAAATGTCTACTGTTACACAGAATGTGTAAAGTCAAGCAAAGGATCATGTTTGTAACGAGAGAGAAAATATAAGCCAAAAAACACTGATTCTGCTAGCATGCTAAAAATGTTAGAATTAGCTACTTAACTAACAAATAAACAAACATTACTTCAACTGTATAAAAAGTTTTTTTTGTTTTAATACCCCCATTATGTCTCAGTGAATACATTTACTGCTTTCTTTTATTTACATTTATTCGCCTCAACCCAACGCACTCGATTCACATTCTAACAAATGAAATCTAACAATTGTGGAAAATTATTGCAGCCAACTTAAATAATTGCGATTATCAAGTAAAGGTGATGTAATAATTGTGGCAGGCCTACTTGTAGACATTTTACAGTGTCTCTTTCAGTTAACAGCCCTGGGATAGAACTGCAGCTGCTGTATTTTATTTCTAATGTGACAGAAATGTATTGGACAGGCTACAACTTGTATTTGCAAGGCCTAGAGTGACATTTTTCCTCTCAAAATTTTAAATTAAAATTGGTTTATTCCACTGTTGCTTCTTAATTATGCTTGTGGTTAATTTGACATGCTGGACCTTCTGTTCAGCTCTGGGCCTTCTGTTCAGAAGGCCTAACCAGTGGGAGAACATGTCGTATGTACCTATCTATGTACACCATGGAAGAAAGAAATTCCTAATTGGACAATATTTTTGACACCTTTGTTTCTAATCAGACCTTAACAGCAACATAACAGTAGTATTATGCTGGCAGAGTTTAAACACAAGCATGATTCTGGTGAATAAAAATGAAGAAAATATTACAGGCATGTATTTTTGAATGTCCAGAAATCTGATGGCCTAAAAGGCCCTGTGTATACCCCTCTGCTGTTATCAGATATAACAACATGAGTATAGCAGTTTTCAACTTTTTAATCAGATTGTGTAAACAGAAAGTGTTTCACTAAATCTGTCATAGAGCAACTTATCTTCATGTCTTCATGTATTCCAAGTTATCTTCTGCTTCTCTTATAGCTTCTTCTTGAGTCTGCTTAAAGCCTCCTAAAACAAGCCTGTGGCAATAGTGAAAGGAAAAACTCCTTAGGGCTTTGTTAGAAAATAGACAATTTTCTTGTACCCTGTTAGGGGTCAAGTGTTTGCTCATTCCCAGAGAACTATAGAAGTGTGGAAATAAGTTGGGCGCAAACACTACAGTGCTGTGGCAGCTAACCAATGGATTGATTAAATGAGGCATTTGTCTTGCACAGATTTCTTCCGGTGAGAATAAGCCATAGTTAATTATGGACAGCTGAGAGAGGAACACAGTGCAGATATAATGAATTTGTCAACAGAACACACAGTGCAGTTTAAATGAGGACAGCATATGCTATTTTGGCCATTATTTAATTTATACCAGAGTTTATGTATTAGACTTAAATTCTTTTTTACTTTTTGATAACAAATCATCTTAAAATATGATAAAAAATATTCTTTAACTATTTTCCTAGAAATATATACCTTGTACATCAACTGATTGGCCACTTTATAAGATCTGTCTACCTTTAGGTCCACCACATGGATGGTGTACAGTTACAGAGCATTTATTATTTGGATGGTGGATCATTCTAAGCACAGCAGTGACACTGACATGGTAGTAGCATGGTAGTGTGTGTGGTGCTGGTACAAGTGTATCAGACACAGTGCTGCTTAGGGGTGGGGGTGGGGGAATCGATTCTTAGATGCATCGTGATGCGGACGTGGACGAACGTTCTGAATCGATTCACAGATGTCAAATTCATTATGAATCATTACAAATACTTTGCTTTTAAAAGTACCAAGTCTTCACACAGTGAGAAAATAGAAATCCTGTATAGAAAAAAAGATGCATCGATAATCGCTTTATAATTGCATCGCAGCCCTCTGAATCGTAATAGAATCGAATTGTAAGGTGCCTAGGGATTCCCACCCCTAGTGCTGCTGCTGGCTTTTTACACACGTGAGTGTCATTGATTGAGAATATTCTACCCCCAAAATATCAAGCTAAAAGCAGCTCTGTGGTCAGAAACTGACCACTGATGAAGAGCTAGAGAATGGCTAACACAAATTGTTCATCAACAGATGGGCTACATTCTGTACACCGGTAAGGTGGACTTACAAGGTAGGAGTTTCTAGTAAAATGGCCAGTAAATACTGCTATGCTACAGTGAGAAAACTTTCATTTTTTAATCTTTCCATGTTTTATTAGGCTACTTCCCTCTCCCTCACCAAGCCTCCCATAGATCTCCTCCAGTCTTAGCACTAACGCTAATTTTGAACGAAAGCTGGCTTAAAAAGTCGTAATAGCTGAGCAGTGGCTCTAATTTTCTCATGTTAGAAACAGATGCATTAAACCTGTTATCATGCTATCTTCCTCCCTACCACACAATTACCCTGTTGTGTAACAAGTCAATAGCAGGGCATGCTCAGCAGCGGCTGATCGAGCGCAGTAGATAATTAGGCTGTCACTAATTTGTGTTGCACTTGCTGAAGCATTTGTTAAAAATGAGCTTAAATTGATCTGGGTTTCTTTTCCGAGTGCAGTGAATTCTGTCCCCATCCTAATTATTGTGCAGACTCAAGTCTCTTGGAATAATGTTTGAGCTTTTAGCGCTGGTTGAAATATGTGAGGATAGATTAGTGAATAGGGTCTTCAATATGTTAGAGACACAATCTCAATTTTGTGGATCATTAAAGAGTTGTTTTTCTGTGTCTGAAACAGTTGGCCTGTAGATGCATAATTAGAGATGGATGTTGCAGGCTCAGTGGTACGGCTATCATTTATTTGATGAAGAAAAAATAACCTGAACGCTAAGTGGCACTAAAGTAATAATTGTAAATGATGTTATAAGATGTACCATCACAGGAATTCCAGTAATCAACACTGTGTATAATAAAGCAGGGGCAGGTTAGGAGTGTTCCATTTGAGTGCCAGACAGGAATTGCCCCAGGGGACCCATTTTACTAACACAACGGATGGTGAATGTACTTATTGTTCATTTTACTAGTGCCATTCCTGCTTATTCAAAAGTCTGTTCTTGTTGTAGATGCAGCAGATATATCCTAGACTAGAGCTTTAAGTAAGCCTAAAATTTTTGAACCATTTAAGGGCTCTTCCTGGAACCGTTATCTTTTTAAGAGTGTCTTCAAAATTAAATGAAAATTCCTAAGTAAAGCAGGGGTAAATGCTGGACACAATCTAATAAACATCCAAATGTATAACCTTGAACGTGTATATAACCTGACCCGAGCCCAACAGTTGTTTGAGAAAAGAGGTCCCAAGATAGCGCTTAAAATATTTGTCCAAACCATGTGTGATCCAAAAGTTAACATTAGGTTTTATCAGGGTAAGACTGGTATTCCAAACTCTGACTTAGACTACTAAGAAGTAATCATAGATGAAGAAGTACTCTGGCTGAGAGATGTGCGTTTAATCATCTCTATCCCTCTTACAGGACCGTGGCTGCCACCAACATGAATGAAACGAGCAGTCGCTCTCATGCTGTATTCAACATCATCTTCACCCAGCAGCGCCATGATGCCGAGACGGACAACACCTCTGAGAAGGTATGCTGCCATGGATTGTTCTAGACCTTGTCAGTCACAGAGAGCTGCTCAGTGAAGGGAATGCAGTACCACTAGCGCAATGGACTCCAGACATGCTGAGGCCAGACACTCCGCTCACAGCTCAGAGAACCTTGAACTGGCAGAGCTGTACTGAATGGCGTTTGACATTGTGGATGATCTTATTGGCCCAGCTGATTATATGTGAGAGTTACAGGAGCATGTTCTTCTGTCACTGTGCTCGTTATTGACCATTCTCTCTTCCTCTCTCTGTCTCACCCCTTCTGTCTCTTTCTTTCTTTCTCCCTTTAATTTAGCTCAGTTCAAATGAATTCATTTTAATTTAGTTCAATTTAAAAGGATACAATATTAATGTGACAAAATAATGACACATTTATGTTGATAAAGTTTGAAAATATTAAAGTATAATGAAATAGAAGATTAAACAGTGTAAAATGTTTAAATCTGTAATGTAAACTGTTTCAGGGTTATATCCAACATTTTTCATTTTATTTTTATACCTGAGGTGTAATTATGACATTTGTTTTAGTTGATATCTCAAAAATAGTCAATTTTTATATGACCATTTTCCAACTTTGATTCAAGTTAATCAGCTCTGTTAGAATTAAACGGTTGTTTTTGTCACTGTGCCTTTGAGTATGATATATACAGTGGGGAGACCACCGGTGAAATTGCTGAAAGATTTTCTCCAGATATTTTGTGCAAAAGCCTCTGATCAGTAGATCAAATTCATCTGAGAGTCATCTAACCACGTGTTTCAGTGGAAGAAATACGACTTAAAAACCTGACCTTGTTGTTCAAGGGTCTTAACCTGGTCAATTTCACAAATTTGAATAGTAATCTAGAATATTATGTAATAGTGCATATAAAAACACCAGAAAGTACCAGATTTTCAATGTGGATGTAGGAGTTTGGACTCTCTATGCAATTTGCCTAATTTCTGATTGGCTGTCTTATAGTTGTTGTCACGAAAACAATGAAGTCAAATGACCTGTTTTTGCAGCTGAATTCCCATATATGGATTGTATGGACTGGGGAGTAAAGATACATTTTGAAATTTTGAAACATTGTTTATGTATTGCATAAAGCTCTTTTATTTCGAAAAGTTGAGTAAAAGAAGTTGTGATATGGACCCTTTAGGACTAAAATATTGCAGTGTTTTTGTTGCTCGTGATGTGAACATATTTGCATCACTCTCTGTGTCTCTGATAGGTCAGCAAAATCAGTCTGGTGGATTTAGCCGGGAGTGAGAGAGCCGATTCCACTGGAGCCAAAGGCACTCGGCTCAAGGTGACAATCTCCACACTTTTCTTTGCCTCATTACACACTAGTTTTTCTACCTCCTGCTCATCCAGGTGTGAGCGCTGGTTGTTTTCCTTACTTTTCAGTCACTTTTAGTGTCTACTTCCTTCTTTTCCTCTCTCTACTGGCTTATCTTTAGGCTCATTAATCTTCTACCTCTGAGCTTTCCTATCCAGTGCTTGGGGACCCTCCTACAGTTTTGTTCTGTTCCAGCTCCAGCTCTTCATTATCTTGCACAGGTGTTTGGAGCTAGAATAGAACAAAAATGTGGAGTGTTTGCAGGTACCCGAGGACTATGCCATGCTAGGGAATCTCTGCTCTGTTTTTACCTATACCGCCACTTTCTCTTTCTGTCTCTCCCTGCATTGCCTCCTCTTGTTTTCTCCACATTTTTCAGCTTCATTAGTTTTGTGCTGCGAGGACTGTGAGATTCTAGGTCAGGATGTTGCAGGGAAGCGCTGTATGTTGGGGCTGGATGTGGGTGCTCTGTTCTGTGCTAAAGGGCAGAGCTCCCTCAGAGCTCACATCAAAGTTTCTACTCTGAGTCTCTGCTTCATTCAGAGGTGTCTTTACATTGGTGAAGGACTACACAATATATTGTTTCTTAGTTGTTATCACATCATTGGCTTTTGCAGTGCTGAAGTCACAAAAGGCTGCAATATAAAAAGCCCTTTAATCTATAATAAAAACTGAACAACATTCTGAACAACATTAGGTGTCCCTGGTGAGTTTCTGTTTGAATTCACATGATCCTACCAATGTAAATAATTTTGGTTTATATAATGCAGTTCAATCTTGTTACATCATGATATTTTTATTTTACTGCAAGGCATAGCTTAATTGCAATGTGTTGCTGTTGTCAATGTCACAGTATGATATTTTGTCCATATTGTGCGGCCCTACTTTGGTCTTTTATAAAGCTGCTCTGTGTCTGTTGTAGGAAGGAGCAAACATCAACAAATCCCTCACCACACTGGGGAAAGTCATTTCAGCTCTGGCTGAGGTGGTATGTATTTGTTTTTTTATGTTATTTATTTTTGAATTTTCATTTTACACTATTTTCACAGTGTCTGAAGTGTACAGTAATGCTAAACTTCTTTCACTTCTTGTTTCTTAGGATTCTGGATCAAACAAGGTAAGAAAACCATTTTTCTTTTAACTTAATAATTTTTGCTCATATGAAGTTACCTGTTAGTTAACATGTTGATAATTTATCTGATATACACAGAACAAGAAGAAAAAGAAGGCGGAAAGTTTCATCCCCTACAGAGATTCCGTGCTGACTTGGTTACTAAGAGAAAATCTTGGTATGCATCATTGTTACAGCTGTATCTGTGCTACCAGTCAAAAGTGTGCCTTTTCAAAATCATTTTATTAAATGAACTCTGTTGGTTCACAATAACATATTAAAGTCTAATCAAGTTTACTCTGAGAAAAACAGTATCACAATATCAATATCACATATCATGCTTGTGACAGTATTAGTGACAGTGCTGCCTTACGCTAAATAACACCACCAAAGCCCACGCTTGTTGGGATGTTAGCACTCATCAGCGCTTTAACTTTCAACTGTTTTTAACCACTTGTGAACCAAAAGAGTTGCAGTATGTATGTAGTTACAGTATGTGCAAGGAAATTCAAATTTCAAAAGAAGGCAAAGTGTTCCCAAGGTTTTGACTTTAATGCACTCACTTATTCAAAAATTTACAACAAGGGGGGGCACTTTAGTAGAATTTCCTTTATAACAGTGGTGCTTTGCATCCATGATAGTGTGTCCTTGTTAATAAACTGAATTTAAGAGAGGTAAACAGGTCATACAATATGTCCTTTATATATTCTGGTTTATTGAGTAGTTTTCAAACATCACTTTAACTCCAGTTTTACACTCATCTTGACCTTTCTCTTGGTTCAGGTGGAAACTCCCGCACTGCAATGGTTGCCGCCCTCAGTCCCGCAGACATCAACTACGATGAGACCCTCAGTACTCTAAGGTGTCACCGCTTGGCTCTTTACTCTAGGGTTGCACAGTATATCAGTTGTTGTCACAATATATAGCCTTGGAGAAAGCTGCAATATGCAATCATACCCTCCAACCAATCAAAGATTCACTTAGTCTAGTCACTTTTGAGTATTTTGATCAAATCTCAGATGGCTCATTTGAGTGTGGGTGTTTGAATGAATCAAGGCATTTATGTATTCCAACAAATGTATAGTCTTTTCTAAGTGAAAAAAATATTTGCAAAGTTTAACATATTGGAAAAAATAAAACAGAAAAAATAAAATGTGCATAGGTTTTGCACACATTACACAAATTTTGTGTTTTATTTTTTCCCAATATGTTAAATTTGGCAAACAAACAGTTACTGTGCTTAAAAGTGTACAGAGAGGATATGTACTTATTGTCACATAGAAAATCAACAAAGCATGTAATTTGGCTTAAATGTTATGTACGACTGTTTGAGATTTGTGGGCAGTATCATGCAGGCTAGTCTTACATCATGTAATTGAGTATTAAACAGGATTTTTAACATATTGCAAGACACACTGCAATCACATTATAGAGAACTATTATCGCAATGTGTTGAGTCATGCAGCCTTAGTTTACTCCAATCATCTTCTCCACCATTAATTTTCCTGTTGTCATCATTCCACATCTTCCAGTGTCCATCTTTCTTTTTCCCACACAAGTCCACGCACATTCTCTCTGTCTCTCACACTCTCACATGCTCTGTTCCTGTCTGTCTCTATCCTCCCTCGTTCTCTCCCTCGCTCTTCCTCTAAGCTTGTTAGTATGGTTAAGGTGTTGAAGGGTAATGGCAGCGTGAGCAGAATGTTATGTAATGACAGATTAGGATCCTGCTGCTGCCTGCAGCAGCTTCACTCTTCAAACACCCTTCAAAAGTAGCTGCTGTGCAGCATACTGCTGAACTGAGTAATTGGGCACCCATGAGATGCAGTGCTTTTGTGTGTGTGTGACATATGCAAGTAATTTCCTTATCTTGTTTCCTTACTGTATCTTGCAGTTTACTCAATACCTACTCACACATTATTATTGTTTATTTATTGTCTGTTTATTGTTTCACTACAAAGTTCTACCAGCTGCAATCTATATTGAAATTATCAGACATTAATATGATATATGACCATTACCTGGAGTTCTCACATCCACAGCCATATTTTACTTGACATTCTGTGCTAACTCTGGCCTCACCCGTTGTAAACTCTGAAACAGGTACGCAGACAGAGCCAAGCAGATCCGATGCAATGCTGTTATTAACGAGGACCCGAACAACCGGCTGGTGCGGGAGCTGAAGGAGGAGGTGTCTCGCCTGAAGGAGCTCCTCTATGCCCAGGGCTTGGGTGACATCATAGAGAGTAAGACCCTCTGCTGTCCCAGCTGGACACTGTTTACTTGTATTTATATCAAATCAAATGTTGCTGTGCACTAAGGGGTGGGTGGTGTGACGATATGATTTCGTTATCACTGTACATTACATCACGGTAAACTTTTCGTAGCAAGTTTGAACACCTCCGGTCAAATTATGTTTTGTTGATTTTCTAAGTTAAAACATTTTCTAAGGAGAGCACACATTTTCCCCAAATTGTTAAAATGAGCAAATAAACAGTAATTAAGCATTAAAATATACAGAAGTGTGTTCTGTGTAGAGGATGTGTCTACTTATTTTCACTTAGAAAATCAACAAAACATGCTATTTGACCAGGGCCGCCCAAACTTTTGCATACTACTGTATATTGTGCCATATTTACTCAATTCATCCACAGCACTGACCAGCTGTATGTTTCGTTAAAAAGAGGTTTAGAAGAGGCCTCCATGTGTGTAGCTGTTTAAGGCTTCATTGTGTTGTCAAGAGATCTAACATTTGAATCACGTGAGGTCTACAAGAGGATAACTGGTACCAGGGATGTGGGAAGGTGTTTTAAGTTGGGGGCTCAGAAATTTTAAGCAGAACAGATGTAACGTCATGTTATTTATGCAAAAAAAAAAAAAAATTCTATTCATGTATTATTTTTTATTTATTACTTCTAAATCTGGGGCTGCACCCCCACTTCCAACATCCCTGATTGGTCCTTTTTCATTAAGATGCAGTGCTGTTTAATTGGATGTAGTGCTCTACAGTATGTAAAACATTGAATGAAAAGCCAGTTTTTAATAACATTTTTAAATGTGGCACTACTGGGGTGTATTGTGTCTGTTCCAACTTACAAAACCTCAGAAATATGAAATGTTATGATGTGTATTGGGCATTGTGAAAATGTATTTAAGTATTGTGACAGTGTGTTTTTGTCATGTTGCCCACCCCTAATACAGACCAGTGTTCACACATTCCAGTCCTGGAGGCTCAACTGCACTGCATAGTCATAGGCTTTTCACAGCTTATATCATTAGGTAAATATCAACAGCTCTTTGAGCCGAATCAGGTGTGTTAGATCAAGAAAACACAACTGTGCAGAGCAGGTGGTCTACCAACACTGGAGCTACTAAACTGTAATGTTGCAGAGAAAATGATATGTATCATACGTATTATGCAGAACATATATACTGTTGTATTGTACTGTGTGATAGTCCTAATGAAAATAATCCTTCTTGTATGTGCTCATACACACACACACACACACACACTCACTCTCTCTCTCTCACACAAAGTAATGCATCAAAAGTACTTGATTTAATTTTCACATTATTACAGTATAGTATAGTAAGTAAACTAAAAGACACAACTGTGTTTGAATGTGTGTGAATCTATTTTATTAATGTGGCAATAATGTACACATTTGAATCAAGTGATTTTGATGCTTTACTTTTTTAGTGAAACAGTCCTCACCCTGTTTCAGTCTGTCATTTTTAGTCATTCACTCACTGAGCCGTCTTCCCTTTCCTCTGCACTCACCACACTCTTTCTCTCTCATTCCTGCTCACTCATTTCTCTCTGTCTTCCTTATGGCCTTAGGGTGTGTTAGGAGAAGGTTTTAGAGCAGAGCATTTTTAATTCAGCCCTTAGGGTTCAGTTCAGTGTGTAGTGTCCTTCAGAAGCTGTCTGAGCTTGGCGTTGCTTAGAGCCTCTTGGCCTTTGTGTTGTTTTAAATGGGTCTGACTTTTTCCTCTCTTTGTCTTTCTCTCTCTCCTTTTAATTTGAACTCCTTTCTCTTATTTATTCTCCTCACTCTGTTGTCTCCATTGTTGTTCTCTCTCTCAGCATATCGAGGTCCAGTCGATGACGACTCTGGTTTGAAATGTGTGTTTCCTTGGCACCTTCTCTTTTTTCTCTCTGTTTCTCTTTTTCTTGTGCTTTTGCAGCTTTCCTGGATGTGGCAGATCCCTGCAGCACCAGGGGGCTTTTGGGTGTTTTAAATGACAAAATGAACCAATCACACAGTAATTTTCATGACACGTCAGCTGAATGTTGGCTTGGTTAGGTTTAGTTAGCTTACGAAGGTGCATGTGTAGACTAGCAACCAGGCTGTATTTTCCCCATGCTTCCTTTATACTGAGGAGTGGACATGCCATTTGCTGCTGGTGACCAGAAATTTATATATGTAATATGTAGGGGTGTAAAAATACATCTCAGTGTAATTCAACTGCTTTGATTTTGTGATATTATAACAGATTATAATACTTATAGCTCGACTGATACGAATGATACATCAGTTGTCTGATAATATCAGCCGATATTGATGACCTGAGCTTTTATTGGTATTAGTGAATATATTGCCAACAATGCAATGATAATTTGTTATATTTTTGGTCTCCTGACAATAAGACAAAACCATAAATATGAAGCATCCCCTTGTTATACGACAGCAATACAAGCAGGAACACGAAGAGCTGTTATGGTTAAAATAAAAAAATTACGTAAAATGCATCCAAACCTACCTTTTAGCACAATAATGTTATAGCACAAAAAACTTATTTCTATTAAGAGACCTGATGAAAAGTAAGTTAATTAGGAGGTACTAGAGTATTTATATTCTGTAAGACTGTAGGTTTCTGCAGTTTATTTGAGAAATTTGACCATTGAGAAAAGATACATTGAGCAATTCACAGTTGGCAATTGAGAATCATAACAGTCAGTAAAGCAAAGTCTTGGAGTATAAAATTAAAATATAAATATCAATTAGATCAACTGATATCATTGGTTATTAGTTGTTTAGCACCTTAAAATCAGCAATGGTATTGGCCACAAAATAGTTGTATCAGTCGGGCCCTAATAGCAACACCCAGTAGTAATATTTTATAACAATTTGTGCGCTTAATTTTGGCCATAATAAAATTCTCAGGATATTTTCAAACGTTTCAAACATAGAAATAAAAAAAAACTTGATGTATTGTTTTCATTGTCTATATTCCACTACGCTGTAAATAGTTCCTTCAGTCACATTTGTGTATTCATAGTATTTTTAAAAACCTTTCTGAATCGTACACAGTAACCAGTCAAATCATTCACATCCCCAGTAATAATCAATCGACGATTTAGATTTCTGCCATTTTCATCCTAGATGGTACCTGGTAAAATATCAGGTGCTAGTTCACTTGAGCCTGTTTGCTGGTTTGGAGTTTGAGCTTAAAGCACAGTTTGCTGTGCTTTGTGTTCACTGGTGCTGCAAGGCTGTGTTCTCTCTCCCTCTGTTTTTCTGTCGCTGCCTTTCTTTTTTTTCCTGCAATGCTGAGTAGGAGGAATGGTGCAGTGTACAGTTTAACTGATCTCACTCATCCACTCATCTACGTTTAATTCCTCTTGTAAATGCTACTCTAATCGAAAAAAAACTGTTTTTAAATATGGCTGTTGTAAAATGGAATTAAATGTTAGGGAGTGAAGCTTTTTGGGATAGACTTACCTCAGATGTGTGTTTGAGTGACATCACATATTCAGTGAGGGTTTATCTTTTGTTTGATGCAAGCTGCAGCTTTTGTTATGGCTGTACCACATCCTCTCCATAGGCCCTACTAGCTCTACAGCCATAGGGAATAACCTGGAGGGAAAAATAGAACAGAAACCCGTTATTTCTTTCTATTAAAGTTTGCTGACTCATGCTTACAAACGAGTGGTTTGGCGTTAACTCTTTAAGGGTGTTCTATAGAGTAGAGACTATTGGTCCAGTTGAAGAGAGTGCTGCCACCTGCTTGTCAGACTGAGACATGACTTAAAAGGGACTTGCATTTAAAGGGTCCATATCATGGAGTACCACCTATTCAACCTACAGCAGTTTAGCCCCACTTACCCTGAAGTTATAAGGTATATTGCAGTCTGGACTGCTTTTTGAATGAGACACAAAACAGTGAATCAGAACAGAGATCATTTGCGTATATCTGTCATTATGGCACAGTAACAAAAAACCAGCCTATATGGACAGAGGTCAGAGTTGAAAAAACATATTTTGTCACTACCGATACAATAGTAACACTCCTGTAAAAATTATTATTTTTAATTTTAAGTATTATTTTCAAAAGTTGAAATTTAGGGGTTAGGGTTTAGGAAAGACACTTCCCAATAGAAAGTACCCTATAAATAATGATTTTGTATATATTTTCATAATTTCTTTCTCAATACAATTGATTTAAACAGACCATAACAGATATTTTGTAAATATCTAAGGTCTGAATGTTTAATTGTTTTTTGAAATATATATATATATATTTACTGTATATGTACCACAGTTTGAACTAATTTGGTAGAATGCTTATCGGTAAAGTTTATCAGTATTTAGGGCACAGTAACAAAAATGACCTGGATAAAATGATGTTTGATAAAATTGGATAAAATATTAATGTAAAATGTAATTATGACTATTTTTGGTTCATAAACCTAAGCAAACATCGCCTCTGGGGGGAAAAAAAGAAAATGGAGAATGTATGTATGTATGTAGAATGTGGGCCCTTTAACATTATGTAGATTTAACAATTTTTATTTTAAATTAATGTTATTAGGAAATAACAGACATTGGTTTCTCATGATTTCCAGTCACTGGTTAGTCAGTCATGAACAGCATCCAGGAAGCATCTTGAAGTGGGCACATTTGTGGTCACATGGTGTGGCCATTACTGTAGTTACATTAAACAGAATGGACTGTAATAGAGAGAGAGAGAGAGAGAGAGAGAGAGATTTAGAGAGGACAAAGTAAGCGCACCTTTGTCCAATGCCCATTACATAAAATAGCCAAATTGCTGCGCTCATGTATAGATAGCATACAATTCCCAGCCTTTCACTTCAGAAGATTGCAGAAGCTTAGTCTTCTCTCTGTTAGTAAGACTGTCCTCAGGCTCTACTGTGTGACTGCTTTCTATGATTAGTGACAGAATGGTAGCTCTCTGTTGCCATAGCAGCACTGCTGGTGCCGAGAGCCATTATTTAAGACCACCGAGACGTTATCCTATGTTTATTAGTCATTTATTTAGCCTATTATGTTCGTCATCATACAGATGGCGACCTTAGACAGCAAGCTGTAATTATTCATTATGCTAATGCGGGCTCACTGGTGATAAAGTGACCCGAGATAACACAGTGGAGCTGATCAGGTGAGGCTGAGAAGATGCTTCCGGAGGGGAACTCGCATGAGCTGCATGAAAGCTGAATTGCAGCTCTAATGCAACCACTTCCTCTCATGTGTTAGATATGGCTTTTATTCAGACCTTAATGGAGCTGGTAATGGGGGTTTTATTGTGGCCAGTAGAGTACCTAATGAGAGTCACTAGCTTTTACCAGCAATATGAGCCCTAAAGCAGAAGAGAGAGCAGGCAATGGGTCTCCTACATGTATGACCATTATAGGGAGATGGGACATTTTTGGAGCATATGAGCCTTACTATATATTACTGTAAGGCACTAACTAGGAAGTACCTGTCTGGCTGCATGAGTGGACTAACATTATCATTACTGTGCTGTATGAACACTAACATAAAAGAAGGATACTGCAGTATGTCAGTAATGATTGAAGAATCTGCATGTATGCTCTAATGTAGAGTATAGGGCTGTCACTATCAATTATAAGAGCAATCGAGCAATTGAACGATTATTTTAACAGTAAATTGTGTTTTTAATAAGATAAAGCATAATGGACAAACCAATCATGACCTTTCAGAGACCCAAAAATACACTTATCGTCAGATAAATTGTTGCACCCAGAAGGAAGTGTCGGAGTGCAATGCTATTCGGAAGGAAGATAGAGGATACCAGGAGCAATAAATGAGTAAAAATTTAGACTGATATGGGCAATATTTATTGAGGTACACATACAGAAGTAGTGTCTCTCGGTATGGCGTCGGGCCACCATGTTTGCTAACGCAGCATGCCAGACGTCTCGGCATGGAGTTGTAGAGATTCTTACTGGTGTCTTGCGATAATCCATCCCATGCAGCATAAATATTCTCATGCAGTTCCTGCAGATTTTGCAGTATGGGGTGGAGTGTTGATAGTGCGTCCAATAGCATCCCACACATTTTCAATCGGGGATAGGTCTGGCGATGTGGCTGGCCATGGCATAGTATCTGTGTCTTCAAGGCAGGCTCTTGAGACGGCAGCAGTATGTGGACAAGCATTGTCCTGTAGGAATAGCGCACCAGAGTGTGCGTTCAGAAAAGGTAGGGCCATTGGTTGCAGGACCTCATGAATGTAATGTTGGGCTGTCAAAGTGCCTGTAATGAAGACCAAAGGTGATCTGGCATCGTACGGAAATGCACCACACACCATGCCACCAGGCCTTCTGGATGTGTGACGCGTGACAACAAACCATTCGTCTTGGCGCTGACCACGGTGCCTCCACACACGGATTTGTTGGTCGTCTCCACCAAGACAAAAGCAGGACTGGTCACTGAAGATGAATCACTCCATAACAGTCTGGCACGACACCATTGCAGTCTTTGGCGATGGTGACGTGGTGTTAAGGGCAGTCGTCGTAACGGTCTGCATGCATGTAGTCCTGTATCGTGCAGCCGTCTGACAATGGTGCTGGCACTGGATGACTCATGGAGGGCATCAGCTTGCTGAATGTCTGCAGTTGTAGCTGTTGGGTCACAATCCGTTGGTTCTCCCTCTCCATGGTTTGTGTAGGTCTCCTAGATCCTTCATGTTGCTGGTGCATGCCTTCTTCTATCCACTGCCACCAACAGCATGCTATGGTAATCCACGCGCAATACGTCGATGAGACCATCCCGCTTCCTGGAGCCCTATGATGCGACCCCTCTCAAACTTTTCCAACTGCTCAAATTGCTTTCGAACTCTTCTCTGGGACATACTTCGCTTGCAAAGGATGCTACCAACACAACAGCACGAGTCAGAATGGAAAGCATGCACAATGGGAGGACCTTATATAGTCAGTCAGGTACAGTGATAAGGACCGTCCTTACTTATGTCCCATGCGCGGACGAGCGTGAAACTTGAATCATTTGCATGTCTCATGATGTCAAACCTATCCACCAAGTTGCATTCCTGTCGGTTAATTCCTTCTGGGTGCAACTATTTTTTTGACGATGAGTGTAATATAAAAGATAGACATGATGCTTTATCGTCATGCAAATTAAGAAGGTAACATTTAAATTGATGACTTCCTGAGTTTGATAGAGTTTAACTGAGTAATTGTGGCAGCCCTAGTAGATTACTGAGGGAATATGGATTGGTGTCTAAATTGCAGTGCTTTGGCTGAAGCTCAATAGGTCACACTGCACTTAGCACAGCAGGTGGACCTATGCTGCTTTGCGCTTGTGCTGCCACTGGCTTTTACTTTTTCTCTCTTTTTGTTGGACCGTGACTGTAGAACCTGTCTGTTCTTTCTCTTCCAGTGTTTCTCTTGTGTCTCGATTCACATGTACTGGCCTTTTCAAATTTGGTCACATTCGTTTTAAGCTACATTTCTTTCTTTCTGTCTTCTTCTTTTTTCTACTTTCCTTCTCTCTGCTCTCCCTTTTCTGTCTGCTCCTCTCTTTATCTTTCTGACCCCCCCATTCCCTTGCTCCTTCCCTCCACCCCCCCGCCCGGCACCCTCCCCTCCCGGCAGACTTATCCGATTACAAGAACAATAACAATACTGGCCAAGCTGTCAATCAAAGAGGTGATCTCTCCACAGTGACCAATGCCATGACGGGGATGAGTCCCTCCCCCTCTCTCTCCGCTCTGTCCAGCCGGGCTGGATCCATCAGCAGTCTGCGTGACCACATCATGTTCAGTCCTGGGAGTGAGGAGGCCATTGAGCGACTCAAGGTAACTCAGTTAATGTAGCAGATTCGGTAATCACTTAGGGTTACAAATGACATCCAGCCAAAACCTAATTGTAGCTCCTAGTAGCTCACCAAAGCAATGGTTTGGACAAAAGATTTAGACAGTTTTCCCTTTACCTTAAATATAATCGATCCACAAATACATGTTTGGTGCCCAGAGATTGTTTCTTTAGTTTTCAGTACCAGGCTAGTGTTGCTACCAAGTAATGGAAGCTTATAGCAGAGCCTTTATAGGAAAGTATCTTCACTCAGCAGCCACCTAGACATCATCCCTGAGCAGTTTTTTCCAGTCATACAAGACTCCTGTCTCTTTGAATGGGCAGAGACTGCTAAAGCATAAACTAAAGCCACATTCCATATTTGGAATAACTGGTTAAATCTGACAGTGTCAGAAACCACATAAGCAAGTCTATTTGAGATAACTTAAGAACTCAGCATAATTTGAGGCAAATGCACGATAATTCATGCAGCTTGCATGATGCTAATTGGTAAGATATAAACTTCCTTGCTAGCTAAATTAGCCTCATAGCTCTAGTGCAGAATTTAAGATGGAAACTTTAGATATCCAACACATCTTGAGTGATCAGCCACATCAACAGCTTTATTGCATCTCATTACACATTCAAAAATGTCTCATGTGATCTACAGTACAACCCTAATGCAATCTGAACACTGTCTGCATTTTGGCTCTGATCTGTCAAATGCTATATGTATGTCCAACAGATAGTAGACGCAATATTTAGCTGCATGTTTTGACATGTTTGATCTGTCTTGCATCGCCAATAACTAGGAAACAGAGAAAATCATTGCAGAACTCAATGAAACGTGGGAGGAGAAGCTTCGACGTACAGAGGCTATCAGGATGGAAAGGTCAGTCCTTAAGCTGGCGTTATCCGTTATTGATTATCCTGTAGGACCACAATGTAGTATTTTTCCTAATTTAATTCAGCCAGTTACCAAACCTTTGATAGGGTGAGTTAGAGGAAGACAAAGACAAACAATAAACACAATGCTTTGGCACAGGGCTCCAGGAAATAGCTAGCTGACTCCTTGTTCTCCTTTTTGCAGAAAAAAATGTTGTTTATTGAATGAGTTCCAGGAGAGATAACTGCAGTTTTTGGCTTTTACAGAGAGGCCCTGCTTGCTGAGATGGGTGTGGCCATCAGAGAAGATGGAGGCACCGTTGGCGTCTTTTCACCCAAGAAGGTAGAAAGAGTCACAAGGACACAAATTTTACGTTTTAATATTGTGTACATCGGAAATTGTAATTTAAATGCAACGTGAGTCTTTGATTTAGACCGTGGAATCACCCTATGAATGCATTTACATTCCTCCTTTTGAAGCCAGCACAAAGAAAACCTCAGCCCATCTTTATAGACAGTGTTGGGTTATTCTCCCCAAATGAGGTTGGTTTCCATAAAGATTGTGATTTCTTCCTGAGTGCTCAGTTCCACTGAAATTCTCCTAATGTGAACTCTCTGTGCTGCAGTATCTCATTCAGAGATTTTCTCAAGGTTTCATGGCCTATCTAATGAGTTCCTTTGTATTTCTAACCTAATACCAATCATGATATTAGAAAACCACTCTGCAATATTCATTTTTGTGTGACTGCCATATTTTACATGGCACTGTCACTTTAGTCTTAATCTCTGTGCTTTTTTTCCACAAATTCTTTGTTGTTTGCCTTTTGTTTTGGATCTGTCAGTATTTTGCATGCACTTTCTGTGAGGTTTTGACTGAAAAACCTTTGTAAACTTTATTCAGGAGTAATTAGGTAGCATGTAGGGCTGTCACCATTGATTGTTTGAATGATCTACTGATTATTTTGATGATTAATTGAGATGTTTTAAAAAAGCCACACAACAAAAAAGACATTATCATCATGCAAACTGTCAAATAATAATTGACACTTAATTGAGAAAGTCCATTTTAATAGATTACATTTTTCAGTGATTTATTGTGACAGCACTAATAGGATCTAGTGTGTTGTATGTGCTATATCATTCTTGCTGGTATGAGCATAACCTTTGGTTGTTTCAGACTCCACATCTAGTGAATTTGAATGAAGATCCTCTAATGTCTGAGTGCCTTCTCTACTACATCAAAGATGGAATCACCAGGTTAGTGCAGTTGTCGTGATTTTTTCCCGATTTGTTAGGTGTCAGTCTCTTGTGAACTAATACAAGCTATCTATGTGTTTTTAAATCTGTTTTTATATATTTTTTTGTATCTGTTTTTTAGGGTTGGAAGAGAAGATGCAATGACAAGGCAAGACATTGTCCTCAGTGGCCACTTCATAAAGGATGAACATTGTATTTTCACCAGCACAACAGGACCTATGGGAGAAGGTGAACATCACTTATGCACACACACAAATACATACACACATCCTATTAGAGTTATTGGGTGTTAACTAACTGTACTGTAATGTCAGTAATTAAAAAAGATAATAATCTTTTTGCTCTTTTAATAGTTAGAAAGATGCAACATTATCTTTAATGCAGAATCTGCATCTCATTACTGCCGAGCTGTATGATTACATAAATTACGTCTATTCACAGATTACAGTAGAAATTATTGATTAGCTTATGTCCTACCATCACTTGAAGAAGATCTTTGTACCGCAAGTTCATAGTAGAGCTCCAGACACACACACACATGCACATGGAGGTGTCATTTTAATGGTGCTGTTTTTCTTGTTATTTTAAAAGCAGTGATATTAGAGCCGTGTGAAGGAGCCGAGACCTACGTCAACGGGAAGAAAGTGACAGAGCCCACTGTCCTCAGATCAGGTGTGTGTGTGTGCAGTATATCTCAGCACTTTCTCTCAGTCTCTACTGTCTTTTATTTTTCCAGTTTTTTCTAAAGTAATCCAGCATAATTTGGCAGCCTCATGGTGAAAATTCTGATTTACTCCAGTGGCTTTCCGCAAACAACCGCCTTGAGTTATTTGAATCGCCTCAACAGTGTTTGTGCATCTCAAATGAATTAATTCAGTACAAATAATGAGTGTAGACCGTTAAAGCACCCGTATCATGATTTTTATTTTTTTTTGCTTTTTTAAATAAAAGTGTTTGATCCAGTATGTTACTGTGAAATACTGTTAAAGTTTCAAAATGTACAATTCTCTCCAGTCTATTAATGAAAACTAAGGTGCAAAAAAAATATGAATGCTACCTTCAATAAATTGTTTTTGAAATGTCATGAAAACCAACACATTTACGTATAGCCACCTACGACGACAGGTCAACAGAGAACAGCCAGCCTGGTTTGAGCTGACAGAAAGGCTACAGTAACTCAGATAACCACTCTTATTGTGGTGAGAAGAAAAGAATCTCAGAATGCACAACTCCTTGAACATTGAGGCAGATGGGCTACAGTAGCAAAAGACCAAGTCAGATTCCCCTACTGTCAGCCAGAAAGCAGAACAGAACAGAACAGAAAGCCAAGGCTGCAGTGGGCACAGGCTCACCAAACCTTGACAGCTGAAGAACGTAACTTGGTCTGATGAATCTTGATTTCTGCTGAGGCACACAGATGGTAGGGTCAGAATTTGGCGTCAGCAGCATGAATCCATGGCCCCAACCTGCCTTGTGTTTTCTTGCCACAATTTTGACCTGTTAATATCAGTCAATCATGGCTTGAATGCCGCAGCTTATTTATTGCTGACCATATGCATCCTTTCATGGCCACAATTTACCCATTTTTGTATTGGCTACATCCAGCATCATGATGCACCACGTCACAAAGCAAAAGTCGTCTCAAACTAGTTTCATGAGCATGACAATGAGTTCAGTGTTCCCAGTCACCACATCTGATAAAACACTTTTGGGATGTGGTAAAACCGGAGCTAGAAAGTGCACCTGAGAAAAATTACATTCATTGCATGATGCAGTCATGTCAACAAGGACTAGAATCCCAAAGGAATGTTTCCAACATCCATGTCAACAAGAATTAAGGCTGTTTTGAGAGACAATGGAGGACCTACCCATTATACTATATCTATATATATATATATAAATGATGTACAAGAAAGATGTAATATATGGGCCCTTTTAAAGGAATAGTTTAGTGAAAAATAATTACACATTTTCTCTGGTCGATCAGCCACCACTTCATGGTATCTGAAGTTCGCTTCTTTAGTTCTGGTCTACAAGGTTAATGTAACTAAAAGGTAATGGAAGCTTATACTCTACCAAATAACATCATGCAAACTGCCTGCCTAAATTATCACACATTTACTTCAAACTGTGTTGAGTATGATTTCTGACCCTGTATGTCAGGCTGTTATCTATAAAAATGGACAAAAGTTGCATAGTTAAAAATAGTAGAGACGTTTTAACATAGTTAAAAACAGATCTTGAAGTTTGACTTTTGTCTGTACAATTTCGGACAATACTGTTGAATTATTTATATACGTTAAAATCAGAATATATCAAGTTTATTTCTTCTACACTGTTTTTTTCCTGCTGTTTTGTGTTTTGTCATGTCTCATGGTTTGCTCTGGTACTTGCAGGGAACCGCATCATCATGGGCAAGAGTCATGTGTTCCGCTTTAACCACCCGGAGCAAGCGAGGCAGGAGCGGGAACGGACGCCCTGCGCAGAAACCCCTGCTGAGCCTGTGGACTGGGCCTTCGCACAGAGAGAGCTGCTTGAGAAACAGGGCATTGATATGAAACAGGAGATGGACCAGAGGTGGGAAAGAGAGAGAAAGAGAAAGGGAGGGAGGGTGGGAGCTGAAAGGCGAGATAATTAATTATTAATTTTGCATCTGTGCTTCTCTGTCTGTGTGTGATTAGGCTTCAGGAGCTGGAGGATCAGTACCGCAGAGAGAGGGCGGAGGCCAATAATCTTTTGGAGCAGCAGAGATTAGTGAGTAGCTAATACATACATTTTGCTGATCTGTAGGGATAAAGTCATAAATATGCCACTCAATGCCATTCCAACCTATGGAACCATTTGTGATTTCTATTATAGACAGTGTGGACTGTCTATAATAGAAATAAATGCAAGTAGGGGTGGAGCTCTGAACTTGCACCAATGCATCATGATATCTCAGATTTTTACCACAATTTAAAAACTATTGACTTGTGACTCGAGGAGTTGTTTACGTAGCATTTATAATCATAGCATAGGATTTTAAATGATACAAGCAAGATCTTTTTGCTTCTTCATGTTTGAAAAATTTGTTCTGAAAAAAGACTGATACTTCATTGAATAATTTTCTAATAGATTGTAGCATTCCAAAATCAATGCACTTTAATCGCCACCTTCATGTCGATGCATTTTCACTCCGCTTAGTACTGTCACACAGAAGCACACACAGATACACAAAGTAAACAAATATGACGTTTTCTAGGATTATGAAAGCCGGCTGGAGGCCCTGCAGAAGCAGGTTGATCGTTGTTACCCTGAAGCAGCAGAAGAAGAGGAGGAACCTGAGGAGGAAGGTGGGCTATAACTAAGCTTAGCCAAGAGTCATTATAGTTACTGTATGCAGCTTTAGATGTTTCTGTTGAGACAGAAAGAAAAGCATCGGTAAATTCTCAGTATTTTTGAACTTCTTATCATTGATAACTTCTTATCAATATTTTATGTTGGAAATTCCTAATCTCACAGTGCAATGGACTGAGAGGGAGACTGAGCTGGCTCTGTGGGCATTCAGAAAGTGGAGGTGTTATCAGTTCACCTCCCTCAGAGACCTTCTCTGGGGCAATGCTATCTTCCTCAAAGAGGCCAATGCAATTAGCGTGGAACTCAAGAAGAAGGTAGGGGCTTTTGTGTTAGTCTCTTACGGTAAAAGGTGCAATAAGGGAAAAATAAGCTATTTCAACTATATATATATATATATATATATATATATATATATATATATATATATATATATATCTGTATATGTACTGTGCATCATAATGTGTCTAATGTCTGATTTTGTCCTGACTCACAGGTGCAGTTCCAGTTTGTGCTTTTGACTGACACACTATACTCTCCACTGCCCCCTGACCTGCTGCCGCCTGAGGCAGCTAAAGATCGTGAGAAAAGTCCATTCCCCCGCACCATTGTGGCTGTAGAGGTGCAGGACCAGAAAAACGGAGCCACACATTACTGGACCCTGGAGAAACTCAGGTATGACTGTAGCATTTTACATAAAGTGTGAAATTAGATTGCACATTTTTTTTGAATGTCAGTTTGAATCCTAGTCTGCATGTGCAGTATGTGCATCAGAAGGCTAACATTTTTTATTACATTTAAATCTTAAACACTGAATACATAAAATTGTCTTTGTCTAACATAACCTTGAAAGATAGAAAAATTGTGATATGAGTGTTAAAGCAGGTAATGCTGCCCCCTGCAGGCAGCGTTTGGACCTGATGCGGGAGATGTATGACCGTGCTGCAGAAGTACCCAGCAGTGCTATAGAAGACTGTGACAGTGTGCTGACAGGTGGCGACCCTTTCTATGACCGTTTCCCCTGGTTCCGTCTCGTTGGAAGGTGCGTGTTGACATGACATATCATTACTTTTGTAAGGAAACCTCATATCTTAATAACTATGTTATTAGATAAGGAAAAATATTTCAAAGGTATAAAAATATACATACTTTTACAGTGATGATCTGCAAATCATATCTTAGTTCCAGTCTGTTTTCTACTCATGATGTATTCCTAATGAATATATCATCAAGGCCAATGAAGTAATCATTGTCATTTTGTAAATGCTGAGTACTGCAGGGTGTGTGTTTCACTAATAGAGCATATTCTACTGAAGGGCCTGCCAAGGCACAGGGAGTCCTCCTTCAGACGTCCATCTCAGCAGTATGTTCAGTTCTCCAAATTTGATCATATATCTCACAGTAACAAGCTACTCATAATGTTCAAACATTGTACCCTTCAGTTATTCAGAAAAGTGCCATGGGCTCAGGCTCAAAGTGTGAAATAGGAACCATCTCCCTTAGCTCTCTCCTTATTGGTGTGAAATGAAATAGTGGAAGTTTCTTATTTATTTATTACATTGTATATTATGTATATTTGGTAACCCATTGGTGCTGAGAATATCTGGAATTTCACCTCCTAAATTGACGTATATTTTGGATCTGAGGAAGTATATGTACATATCATCGCTGTCTGAACAAAACCTTATACATCCAAAATGGTAAGCATGGTAAAAGGAAACAGTGTTCTTAGCTTTTAATTGTTTGTAGTAATTTTAGATCATTTCTATTGGTCCATTCATCATGAGATGTTCACACAATGTAAATAGCATGTGTTTGTAAATAAATGTATTAAAAAACAAAAAAAAATGGAGATACAAGGTTTTGTTCTGACAATGACAATATATTTTATATGTACATATATTTTTTCTTCCATATGCTTTGCAAGTCAAGTTAGTGACATTTGGATTCTTCAAGAACTGAGCAGCTCAATCAGGTGACCCAACCCTTACGTGAAACAGCAACTAATTGGGTTACCATACTAACTGGGTTCCCATGTCTTTGGCTACACCAGCAACCCCCTATTCACCTCATGCCTTAGTGAGCAAGCGAGTGACCGCACGGCATCCCCTGACCTCTCTGAACCCACCACCACCTCCGAAGTCACTGAGCTCGTCCAGTCACGGCTCTGTGGAGGGGTGGGGGCGGAGTCGGAGGACTGCAGCGATGATCTTTTGTCCGATGACCTGTGCTCCGAGCTCGGCGACGAAGACGATGAGGATGAAGATTTTGAGGATGATGAGAGGGGTCTTTGCCGAAGCTCCGGCGATGCGGAGGACCCCTTTTACGAGCGCTCTCCTTTGTTCAGTGTAGTGGGAAGGTTGGTGAGGTTTCAGGAGCATGCTGGAAACTAGGAGGAAACTAGCTCTTTCACACTGAGACACAGGACATCTGTCTTCTGTCACATATACTCATGCACGCCACAAACACTATGTACTGAGGTGCCAGGTTATTAGATACATGTATGTTGTACCTACAATCACTGGTCATTCTATCATGTACACTTACCATATAATAGCACTTTGAAGGTTTAAAGTCATTGACTGTTGCCCATCAGTTGCTGCACAATTTATCAGCTCCCTCAATAGAATCAATAGAAAGGGAGCACCACTGACCAGATATTATTTGAATGGTGGATCATTCTCAGTACAGCCATAGTATTGTCACTGTGGTGTGTGTGGAGTTGGTATCAGGTGCAGCAGCGTTGCTAGGGTTTTTAAACCTGACCCACATTCTACCCTCTTGTACATCTTTCTGGCATAAAGTACAGTATAGAGACTGTACCTCATCTGTTTGTATGTGCACTTTTTTTCATTTGTATCATTCGTTCTCTTACACATAAATATTACCTTCTGAAAACAGAATGGGAATTATGGTGTTTTGAGTCGTGAAGTACTCTCAGCACAGCAGTGACATTAAAGTGTTTTAAAACCTCAACAACACTGCTGCGCCTGACAGACACATCAGTGCCAATCACACTACCAAGCCACTACCATGTCAGTGTCACTGCTGTGCTGAGAATGGTCCACCACTCAAAAAAATCTGGTCAGTAATGGTCCTGTGGGGTCCCTTTCCATTGATAGATGAGGTAGAGGGTGGCTGATATATTTTGCAGCAGCAGATGGGCTACAGTCAGTAATTGTAAACCTACACTTCAAGTGAGATCAACATGAAAGTCAACCTTCTGAATACCTTCTGTGTAACTATGTTTAGTCAAAAGTTTACCTGAAATTACATAAATTGTTTAAAGTTGGATTTTTACTCAATTCCTTACCCCAGCATGATTCAATACGATACAGTGGTGTCTCGATACAATACATTTTTGATACAGCAAGTATATCAACAGTATTTTTATGTTCAATTCTGATATCAAAATTCAGTTTGATTTTCAATATTTAGCATGTTAAAATTATTTTGCAAAGTTCTAATTTTATACTACACAGATTGGTTTGGTTTTCAGATAAGTAAAAGTATAGCCAAAGCCCTACCCCCTCTACACCCACTTTACTTGGAAAGGATGCTCCCAGATGCCTTGTTTTGATCGTTGACAGTGGTTTCCATGAATGATGATAAATGAGAGACCCTTCGGAAGAGACTGAGGGCATATTGGTGATATTTGATTTTTACACCCTTGCACCTATATGGTAAGGTTCCCTGATAAAACGGCCAATGAGTGTAGCTGCAAAGTACCTTATAAATATAAACAAATAAATAATAGACTAGCAGCTTATTGTCTGCACAGTGATACAAACTGAAGCACGCCTACAGTCACACACATCAAACAGTGTACACATACAAACAGAAAATTACACTCTTACGCAAACAAGGACAGATTAATTATACATCTTTTTTATGGTATGTACTCACATTTGCTTCATAATCACAGCAGGGGTTTGCACGGTCTTCCACCCTGCCTGTGCTGCTGTCTCATTTACAGTGGAATGTGGTTGACAGCCAGTGCTGCTGCTTCTGTATATGGAAAGGCTTGAAGAGGATTTATCACTGCATAGAGCTGGCATGTAAACTGATTATTGTAGAAAAGGCAGATCATTAAATGATACCAATTCCTTTGAGTATACTGTGCAGTAGATTCCATGTTGAATGATGAAAGATGTTGGAAAATTGTCTCTATAAATATACAACCTCAGGTTGTATTTTGCAGACCATGAATTTGGTAGACATTTTTGGGCTTTAAACCTGTCTTCTCTCATTTCCATACATTTGACTTTCATCTTAACTATGTGAATACGTACCTTGGGCATCTAGCATGAATTCCTTCTTCAAGGTTATTACTTTAACATGTATGCGTTTATAATGCATTAGCATGGGATCTGCAACGTTTAGTATGAAATGGAATTGATTTGTCTGATTAAAAACAAACAAAAAATCGGACTGCAGGAGGTGCTTCATGCCAAGGTGTGTGTCACAGCTTTACCTGCGCTGCATCACCTAGTGCTTCTTCAAAGGAGGCCAAACAGCTTTTAAGTCTTATGTAGACACATGCATAGCAGATGTTTGTTTTGTCCAACACAGAAACAAACAAGTTCAGATTTTTCCTTTACATGGCATGGATTTCCGATGAATAAGATCCAGTGATTCATCCGTGACTCCATAATTGGTTCCTGTAATATGGCAAAGCAGTAATTCAGGATGTCTCCCATATCTCAAGATGAAAGAGCTGGTTTCTAAAACAGTTGTTTCTACTAGGCATGCCACGGCACTTGTTTAATTTCACATTTTTTGTGAGGTTTGACACAGAGACCTTGGATTGGCTCACACTCACTTTTTTTGTTTTTGCAAAACGTTGCACAGGATGGCTTCTTATTGTTCATTTTTAGGTGTCATATTGCCTTTAGGAGCTGCACTGTTTGTTCAAGCTAAGTGGTGCTTAGTATTTTTCATTTGCTTTTTCTATCTTTGAGTCAGTTTAAACACTTTTTGGTTACTTTTTTTGTCCTGAGCATGCCTTCTTTGCACCTCACCAATCTTGTCTTCAGCTGTTTTCTTTGCAGACCACACCTTTCCCCTTAAATGTCTACCCTCCATGGGATCATGGGAAACGTAGTTTTTCACATTTTTGATCATGCATCTGAGACACAGACACATTGTGTTGAAGAAACATAAAGTTGGAGAACAGAATTGCATCAAAGATTCTGCAGAGTCAAACAAATGATCTTCAACTTGTTCTTACTGATATTCCTGCTCTCCTTCCTGACCCCCAGTGTAATCTCACTGTAAACATTAGACCTAATGCTTTGTTTTTGTCCCGATTCTGAATTGGTATTCACAAATCATCTTATTAGGAGTGTTTGTGACCAGAATCATCAACAGTGGAAGTATCTGTACTTCTAGTTTGAGGTGATTTGTGAATGTACATACATACATGTTCATGCATTCACTCACTCCCCTCTTGCACACACATACTGACATTCACTTGTATTCTGACTACTTTCTACTTGTTTGAAGCTTCATAAATGAAGAGTTTAGTTCCACTCCTAGACCATGCTCCTTAAACCCACTAAAGGACTTTAAAAATAAAAACAAATTACTCATATGCTCCTTTTAGACAGAGTAGAGTGATCTAACTTAGCCATTGATTCAACATTTGCAGTGAGGGGGAGTCATCTTGAGGGCCACTACAGTCCCTGCTTGTTTGGTTGCTTTGCAGCTGTGTGTTGTGTTTGTCCATTGTATTGAGACATTAACCCCTTGGACCCAAAATACATTTCTCTTTCATTACCCCCTTTTCACCTGTCTCTCCTCCAGGGCCTTTGTGTATCTGAGCAATCTGCTGTATCCTGTGCCGTTGGTACATCGAGTAGCCATCGTCAGTGAGAAAGGAGAGGTCAAGGGTTTTCTGCGAGTAGCTGTGCAGGCAATATCAGGTAAGATTGGGACCCTAAACTTTCTATAAACTAAGATTAAAAAAAATCACCCCAAAGTCTAGTAATACACCAATCAGGATGATAAAGTGTTAAGACAGTCTCTCTCATTAGCTACATGAAGGCTATTTTTCTAAATACACGAGAATGGTATAGAACGTTATGGATCTAATCCATTAAATTAAATTCATTTTAGTTTTACTATTTCAAACTTTGCAAATCACATCTGTTTAGTTAAATATCCAGCATCTTTTAGAAAGCTTTGGGAGCACACTAATGAAATGGCGCGGTTTTAAGGTCAGGCATAAATGGGTGTGGAGGCCTGAGAGGTATTTCACAAAGCAGAATTTTTCAGTTAGCCAGACTACTTACCAGTCTGATGGGAGAAGAACTGAATAACCTCCACTTATGGCTTAAATTATCTGGCTTTACTGAGAAATTGTTCTTTGTAAAATACCCCTGTTGTGGGCGGATCTGAAGGACACAGTGCGTGTGACTTCATGAGGAAGTGAAGTGAAGGCTCTCTGGTTTTTCCTCCAGCTGATGAGGAAGCACCTGATTATGGCTCCGGTGTACGGCAGTCCGGAACCGCCAAGATATCCTTTGAGGACCAGCAGTTTGAGAAGGTAAAAGGCACTCAATGCATAGAAAGTAAATAATCATGATAGGTTTTAGGACAGGAAGGCTTGCCTTATATGCATAGCTAGTAGGCTTTAGCCTTAGAAGTGATGCTGTACTAATCAAATTATTGTATTACATATACATGTAGTATTTATTATATATGCGTTTCATTTTTATATTATATTACATAGTGAGTTACACAATAAATTACGTTTTTCTCTCTTGTTTCAAGAGACATGGCATAAATGTGCAGATGATGTTTCTTTCTGCAAAGCAAGATCCAAATAAGAAAATATCTACTCTTCTACTTAAAGACACAAAAGTGATATGAATTGAAAGTTTAGGATCTGCACTTTGACCAGCTTTTCTCCACTTGTTTAAATGAACTATAACTGAAAAATCAGTTAGGTTAAACCAGCGATTCACAATCCTGTCTTTGGAGCCCCCAGGCAATTTGAAATTTTATTGTGTTATGAGCCTGAATACACCTGTGTCAGGGAAGCTCTGGTTTGTTCAGGACAGGGACAGGGGAATAGATTTGGGAACTTAAACCCACCTCTCTCTCACTCAGTTCCAGGCAGACTCCTGCCCTGCCAGTCTGTCTCGCACAGGACTTTCTCAGGAGGAGTTGCGGATTGTGGAGGGTGAGGGGCAGAATGCAGAGATGGTGCCCTCTGCAGATGAAGTCAACAATAACACTTGTGCAGGTAATAAACAAGGTTGTCAGGCAGCATGTATAGTAAAAAAAAATGTATCCACTGTGGTTCATACAAAAGTGCATTAGTTTATGTACATTCAGTATGATTTAACCCCTTGGACCCACACTTCAGTTCCTCACTCTCATAGCTACAAAACGTATATATTAGATTTATTGTAGCTTCTGAATAATTTTTATTAGTTACTGAATAGTAAGTATCAAGTGTAACAGCTGAATAATAATCCTGTATTTTAATGGGTTTAACAATAGTACAAACAGTATACACGTGTGTGCAAATGTCACAACTCAGATATGTGGATATTATGTGACATGCTTCATTTCTTTTTCATTTTACCCCTTGAACCCAAGCCTTATTATTCAGTTAATAATCTTCAGACTTACAATTTAGTAACTGCTATGAAACTCACATTTAATTTGTGTAGTTATGGGAGTGATGATGTGTAGGCTGAAATATGAATGAGCAGTTATGTTTCAAGAGTTTAATTTTTATGTGAATATGTTCACATTCTTTGATGTCTCTGCAGCCAACCCAGAAGACCTGGACAGCCCAGTTAAGTCAGGTTTGGATGGTGTTCTAGATGGAACTCTGGAACACCTGAGGATTGGAGAGGTTTTCACATTCAGGGTCACTGTGCTCCAAGCTTCCAGCATTTCTGCAGAGTATGCAGACATCTTCTGCCAGTTTAAGTAAGTGCATCTTTTCTCGCTAGTTTGTAATCTGTATAAAGGCTAACATTATGATAGTTGGTAGCCCCCTTTTTTAAATTATTCATTGTTGTAATGGCGAATTCTGTTGACAAAATCAGCACTGTAAGCAAGTAAATAAATGTTTCTTCATATTGGTATACATTACTAAAGTATTTCATTAAACCCTTCTAATCTTCTGTTTTTCCAGTTTTATCCATCGACATGATGAGGCATTTTCCACAGAACCGTTGAAGAACACTGGGCGAGGTCCACCTCTGGGCTTCTATCATGTGCAGAATGTAAGAATTCTCATACCAAGGTACCATCCCAGTTTTGCTTAGATGAGATGGTAAAACTGGTAAGACATTGTTTCTCTGGTTTTTCAGATTGCTGTGGAGGTTACCAAGTCTTTTGTGGAGTACATAAAGACCCAGCCTATTGTGTTTGAGGTGTTTGGGCACTATCAGAAGCAGCCTTTCCCTCCTCTGTGCAAAGATCTTATCAGGTAGTTGCCTCAGATTTGCCATGATGTCCTACTGTCTTGTATTGTTTTTTCTCCAGCCTCTTTGCATTTTACCCCCTTAAGTTGCAGGTATTCTGTAAGTAAGAACTGTTTTATCTCTCCTTCTCTCTCTTTCATTAGCCCATTGCGTCCATGCAGAAGACAGTTTCCAAGAGTTATGCCTCTGTCCAAACCAGGTGAGAGCAGAAATCAGTGTGAATCAGGTCTTATCAATACTCTCCAAGCCAGATTTGCACTGTAGACAATTATATTTTCCACAGCTCCATAAAATGAAGCCAGGCATTTTGAATGTTTTTTTTTATGTTGTTTGTCATGCTGTGTTATTACTAGGGCTGTCACTATCAGTTATTTTAATAATTGAGTTAAAACAGAGGGGTTATCAAAGTGAAACAACAAAAAATAACTTCAATAACCAATAACAAACCATGATATATGAAAATACTTTACTGCATAAAAGATCAACAGTGAAGCTGTTAACACTTCAGAAGCTTTCAAAAATGTATACAAATGAGAGTGTTCATCAGGTTCTGTTTTTTCCTGTAAGAGAGAGCAGTAGGAGTATGAATTATCATTGTGCTAATTGCTAATTAATATCTGCTGATTCATTGAGAAATTTGTGTTCTTAATCAAGCTTAATCGTTATCATGACAGCCTTAGTTAACACCACTGGCTTAGTGCTTTGTCTTGGCTTTGCCTATTTGTTGCTTTGTGTGTTGCTTGTTGGGGTCCATGTCACTTCAGTTTTGTGTTATTGGGGGTGGGAATATAGCTGCAGATAACGACACCCCACCCGATCGGGAGAAGACCCTGGAGCTGATTCGATACCTGGTGCCAGATGTCTTCAATGGGGCGTTGGTGGACTCCCTGTCGGGACACGCACTTAATGCAGCGGGCGTGGCTGTTTCCTTCCTCCTTGAGGGGGAGGAGCAAGCAAAACTGCCAGCCCCGCCCCTCTCTATCTGTTCAGTAATAAAAGCACAGAAACCGGGTCTGTAATGATCATGTGTGTACAAAGTCAGGGAAAGTCTCTGAAACAAAAGTTGTCCTCTAATCTAATAATCTAATCTAATAAAGTGTATTTCAATAATTTTGTAAAACTAACATTAGTGTCTAAACAATTTATTGACCATAACATTCAATAAAATATACAGTCATATGCAGAGGTTATGCAGTTCTGCACATTTTATTGCACAATTATTGGTCATTTGCTAAATTTAACAACATTTAACAGTTTAACACAAACTGTGGCCTGTGCGAAAGTTATGACTCATTTAATATTTTATGTTGTATTTTTTTCTAATATGCTAAACAGAAATAGGCCATTATAATTTGCAAAAAAAGCGCCATTTAAATTTATTCTCTGTAGAGAATGTGTTTACTCATTTTTAATTAGAATCAACGAAACATTTGACAAAAGTGTTCAAACTTTGGCATATACATGTACATTTTACGCTGTTACATTTTGATCATTTGTCGCTTTATTTGTCACACTATCCAATTAATCTTGTCAGCAAAATACCAGAGCATTGATTGGAGGATGTTTTGTTCTAGGGACTCTTCTCAGGCTTGTTGAAAAAGAGTGCAAGTGTCCAGCTCTTTCTGTCTCCTTTAGTTCCTCCTCATTATTGGGATATACACACTGTTATATATTCAAGGATTAAAATTGTATCAGTGTTTATCAGCAAGGTGTGCATTCTTTATTGAATCTGTGCTACATGTATGTTACATTGTGTTACATTTGTATCTTGTGTCCTGTTTTGCTTGTTACAGTTATCTCTTAACATTTGCAGGATGTTTTTCAAAAAACAAAGATGATTTCTACATTTACATGAACATTATATATAATGATTTTGTGAGAATAAACCCATTTATAGAATATTTAACAGTACAAACATTATTATATGTATGTATAATGTAAGGATATAGTCAGCCCTGGATTTTGAGGCTGACTGAAAGTGCGTTATCAAAAACTGCAGATGTGGAGGGATACTTGTTCATTCAGAAATTGAATTTGCCTTTCCTCTGGATCCCTGGCCTTCCTCCCTTCCCTTTTTCTAACTCTGCCTCTACCCCTTATTACATCAATTTTGTCACATTTTCCTTCTTTATCTTTAACTCTTTATTACTCTCTTCCAGCTTGAGTGAATAGACTCCCTTACAGCTCCTAATCATCCCTAAAATTGAATATCTCTCCCTCTTTTTGTTTCTCAATTAGTACCTGCTACAAAGCTGACAACGCTCACAAGACCCACTGCAGGACCCTGCCACTGTAAATATGACCTGATGGTGTTCTTTGAGATCTGTGAGCTGGAGGCCAATGGAGAGTGAGTTTCCCTTCTAATATTTTCTCCTTTTTGACCCTGCGTCAGCTGCATGAATTTTACAGTGAGAGGATTAGACTCATTTCAACATAGATCATAAAGGAGGTTTTGGATATCAGTTCAATTATTTGGTACTCTGAACTGAATACTTTAAGGCTGGCTTTGCCCAGGGTGCTACTGTGAACTTTGCTACTGCAATTCTGCACAATTTGTGTAGTTACTTTTTTGTGCTACTGGGATACTGTGTTGTAAATCTGGTGACCATGTGTGACCAGGTCTTTGTGCTAGTAACTTATATATATTATTATATTTATTTGTCCTGCTTCCAGATCAGTTTATGCAGACTACTTGTTTAATCCATGCTTATATTACTCTCTCACAGCTACGTCCCTGCTGCAGTCGACCATAGAGGTGGAATGCCCTGCCATGGCACTTTCCTATTACACCAGGTCTGCTTTGCTGTCCCATTAATTTCTTACATACACACAGTTATAACACATATATAAGCAGTATTTATCTAAATAGACAGCCCAAAAGAATGTAGTAGAACCCTGTTTACAAAAAATTGAGATGCTGTGCAAAAAGTAAATAAAAACAGAATACAATTATGTGCAAATCATTGAACCTCTATAATCAATTGAAAATAGTACAAAGACAAATGTCAGTGTTGAAACTGAGAAATGTTATTGTTTTTTTTTTTTTCATTTCATTTGATGCCAGCAACACATTTCAAAAAAGTTGGGAAAGGGTCAACAAAAGACTGGTAAAGTTCTGTAATGCTAAAAACATCTGATGGAACATCTCACATCTAATTAGGTTAACTGGCAACAGGTCAGTAACATGATAGGGTATAAAAAGAGCATCCCAGAGAGGTTGAGTCATTTAGAAGTAAAGATGTGGAGAGGTTCATCACGCTTTGAAAGAGTGCACGGACAAATAGTGCAACAATTAAACAATAATGTTTCTCAGCGTAAAATAGCAAAGAACTCATCCTCTACAGTACATAATATCATTAAAAGTTTCAGAGAATCTGGAGAAATCACATGGCATGGGTGACTTGCATATCTGTAATGGCACAGTTAATGCTGAATGATATATACAGGTTTTGGAGGAACATATGCTGCCATCTAGATGATGTCTTTTTCAGGGAAGGCTTTGCTTATTTCAGCAAGACAATGCCAAACCACATTCTGCATGTAATACAACAGCATATCTCTGTAGTAAAAGAGTCTGGGTGCTAAACTGGCCTGCCTGCAGTCCAGATCTGTCACCTACTGAAAATTATGAATTTAAAAATACGGCAAAGGAATCCCTGAACTGTTGAGCAGATGAAATCCTATATTAAGCAAGAATGGGAAAACGTTTCACTTTCAAAACTACAGTAGTTGTTCTCCTCAGTTCCTAAACGCTTACAGATTGTTGTTAAAAGGAGAGGTGAAGCAGCAGAGATGTAAACATACCCCTGTCCCAACATCTTTGAATTGTGTTGCTGGCATCAAATTCAAAATGGGCATGTATTTTTCAAAAAATAATAACATTTCTCAGTTTCAACATTATATCTCCAAGTTGGCCTGGGAGCGGCTTGGGGTCCCCGGGAATGAGCTGGAGGAAGTTGCAGGGGACAGGGTCACCTGGGATTCTCTGCTCTCCCAACTGCTACCGCGACCCTATCTGGACTAAGCGGTTAACGATGATGATGATGATGATGATGATGATGAGTTTCAACATTTGATATGTTGACTGTTTTTTTTAGTTAAATATGGGGTTTAAATGATTTGCACATCATTGCATTCTGTTGTCATTTGCATTTGCGCAGCAACTTTTTTGGAAATGGGGTTGTAGTTCAAAATTGTAGTTTCAAGTGCTTAACATCTGTTGACATCTTTCTTCTTACAGGGAATCCAAAGGAGAGTGACTGTGACTATTGTGCATGAGACTGGGAGTGACATTCAGTGGAAGGAGGTTCGTGAGCTGGTTGTAGGTGAGTTTATCTCCTTACTGATTCCTGTGATTTGTAATCTGAAAGTGGCAGTATGATCAGTAGGAATGTGGCATTCCCCTATGAAAAATAAATAAATAAATTATATATATATTATATATATATATATATATATATATATATATATATATATATAGTCTCTGTCACAACAAAAGCATCTCAAAATAGGCAATTTTTCAGGGGAATGAAAAAAAACATTCAAGTCTAAAAACATATGTAAAGGAATATGTTGAACAATTTCTATTTAATCATTTGTCATGAAGTTATTACACAATGTGTAGAGTGGCTGGATTTTTGGTGTCAGGAAAATTAGAAAATTGAATAGAAAACATCAGATCAACTGATCCAGCAGTGACATGATATGCTGTCATTATATGCCAAAACGTAATTAGAATATTTGGAGTGTTAAGGCTTCAGTTTGTGTTTCAGGCCGCATCCGGAACACACCTGAAGCAGATGAGAGCATCATTGACCCCAATATTCTCTCCCTCAACATTCTGTCTGCTGGAAACATCCGCCCAGCCCCAGATGACAGGCAAGTTTTTGAATTCTAATGATCTAAAGAATCAGAGAGATGAACTAAGATAATTAAGTAATGAGAAGTTAAATATTTATGTCATTAATTAATTAACTAACCAATATACTTTTAATTATTAAGTAAATTAAGTAAGTATGAAGTATGAAGTAAGAAGGTTATTTTTCTGTAGTCTTAAATATGTATTGTCTGTATCAGCAGCTGCGTTAACACGGGCACCCTTTACTTCTTAAGTGTTTTACTGTACTGATCTTCATTTCCTTTAAGGAAAATCCTCTTATTGTTGTATTGTTGGAGCCTTCAGGAATAGTCTACAATAGTCTAAATAGATTTTCTCCACTTTAGCTTTGTATGTACTGCCCCCTGTCTTCAGAGGCCAACAGGTCTTTCTTTCACATAGAGTTGCGTATTAAACAGCTCCGCCCACTCTGTCCATTCTGCCTTGGCATTAGATCTCAGAGAAGGAGCCAGAGCCCTGACAAACAGCACAGCAAAAATGTAAAATTTTAAAAGAGGCGTCTTTTTTGCCAGAGAGAAATGACACAGTGAAAAGTCGCATTCCAAGGGCCTCTTAAGGGCCTGACTCAAGAGAAAGCTTCAGAATCACACAGCACCGGAGACAGCGCCAACGTTTGATGGAAAAGAAAGGCATATTGACTCTTTTATGCTCCTCTGCACAAACACATCATGGTCCACTGCACAGTAGTGGAATTTGGCAGCCTCTTGGACACTGGAGCTGCCACATTATTCAGGCTGTGAGGCTTCACCCACATTTTTAAGGATGTAAGCATTTCCAGGTGGATGCTTATCTTGTCTCAATGCAACCAGACACTCTGTACACTCCTCTCTCAAAGTGCTTATAATGCCAGATTATGCCAGAGTTGCAGAAGAGCGGCTGCCGCTGTTGCATTGGCCCCTGTTCAGAGCCTGGTGCATGATGGGACCCATAACCAGGAGGCTATGGGTCTGGATGCTGTGAATGTTCCCTTTTTTTTGTTTGTTTTTTGACTGATGTACTGACTTGGCACTGCCATTTTCCCCCTAAAATATTAACCACTAGAGTTTCATTTGCAAGACAGAATGTGGTTCTATCAGTGTAGATGAAGGAGGTCACACGTTTATTGGAAAACAAACAAGTGTGCAGGCAACAACATCAAAATCCCAGTGACTTTGTAAAGAATGCTTTCCTCCCCTGTGGATTTTAAAGAAGATGATGTAGTGAAAGTTCTCTAGTTCACCTCCTTGCTGGCTGTATGACTTTTGTGTCCACTCTTCATCTGTTCATCCATCCATTAACTCTATCCATCCTGCGCCATCTACCCTTCATTGCTCAGACTCTACTAATTGCCCGCTGACCACTCTGAGGATAGAGTGCAAGGCATCGCTATCATTAACCATTGCATGGTTGTGATCTGCATGCAATACTTTAAATGTTCTTGTCTGAAGCCTAAGGTTTGCATCTCATGCACTGTTAACAGCACAAAACAACTTTTCACCCTACAAGCACTATTTTATAATGTTTTACTTAAATTTACTGCAATTTAGTGCAACTCACAGCATGATAAGCAGTTGATGTGATCACTTTTCATATCAAAGTGCAGTGCACATTACTTCATTAACTTTCACTGAACCATCACTTACAGCTTCATCTTAGCTTTGACATACATTGACACTGCATAGCATCACATGCAGTAAGATTTTTATGCCTTGGCCTTTGGATTTTCCCTTATCACCCAAGTTATTCACGCTTTTTGCAAGTAAGCCCTAACCATAACTGCCTCTCCTCTCTTTGACAATTGAAAAGAATTCTTTTTAAATCCCCCAGCTCCTTTTCCCTTTAGCCGTGACCTCCTCTCTTATGGTGTAACCACAGTGCTTTAGCGGTCTCCTCACATCAAACATAATCTCATACTTCACACTTGGATTCATTAAAAGGAAAAATTAAGAAGAAGATGATGGGGCGCTTATACAGAGGCATAGCCATTTGGGCTTACTGTTTTGTTGATCTGTGAAACAAAATGGCTGCTTAGAATCAAGATGGCCGTTGTAACAGTATACTCACAGCTGGCTAAGCCTCTGCCATGAGCTCACGTCAGTAACATCATGGAGAGCTCTTGCTCTGACACATCTGCCCTCAAGCCCACTAACGGAATGTTGTTTTGTGTTTTTGCAGACAGTTTCTTGATTCGGACATGCCTAGGTATATTGTTTTCGAATCCCTATCCTTTTATTCCCTCAGACACATGTAGAATATATTTACATATTTATTATGCATCATTTCTTTTGAATTCTCTGGTCATCCATCCAGTCAGTCTCCATCGTTCTTTACCTGTATGTTTTGGCTTCCCAATCCTGCTGCGGCCTCCCCCTCTTTTTTTGTATGTGTTTGTCTTTCCTCCCTCCCTCTTTTCCCATTCCCTTCCTAAACCGTGGGGAGCTTTGCTTCGGCTCCCATGGAAATGTTTCTCGTGCGTGTGGCCTCTGTATGTTTGTGGGCGAGATGTTTTTGCAGGCATTTCAGGTGGCTGCAGAATGCATGGCTTGGCTTTGTATGGACTGTCTTTTGGCTGAATCTTTGCAGGAGGTGTGGTAGAGATCAAATTGATCATTTCACATAATCTTCGCTCAGAAAAGGTATCAAATATAGGACTCTCACATTCAGTTTTACCTGAGAACACTCTTCTGCCCACACAAACTGTAAAAAATAGCCGTTTCAAAGGACGCTTTTTAGCAGTCTGAGTCATTTAGTGAGTCACTGCTTCTTCGCACACCCACACGCACGCACTCCATCTGTGTAAAATTTACTGTTCTGGCTCATAGCACATTTAGATCACATCTCTAGATTAGGAATTTATGATTTAATTAAAACTGTCCCACAGCAAGATGAATTTCCACCACAAATGTCAATGCAGTGCTGTAAAACACACTCGCTGCTGTGTTAGGCGATGGTTGAGAATCAGGCCCCACACACTGAGAGCGTTTATGATTTATGGACGGAGGAGTTCCGTCTGAGCCAGCTCTGTCTCCTCACACAGGCTATAATCCTCAACTTTCATTCACCCTGGTTTGAGCTAATGTTATTTAAGATTTATGCTTGTTTCATGACCAAGGTTAACACTCTTGTCTGTACAGTACATCCTAGATGACAGTTTTATCTTCCAAGCTGAATTTGCTTGAGTTCTTGTTGCACCGCTAGTGGGCAGTGCTGCTCAAATCGCCTCTTTTTATGTTTTCCACTGCCTGTATGGTGTAGGTGAAAATCACTGAAACATTTCCGTTTAAGCACATATTCCACTTTCTGTACCAGTATGTTGAAGGAATACCCCATCATTTTTTAACATCTATTCACTCTATCTGTAGCAAACAGTCAATTACCATAGATAATAATAATATATTTATTACCCTATAGGTAAATGGCTAAACTAGATCTTGCAGGGCCAGATGTGATCTCATAACAAGAACATCTGGGGCCAACCAAGAGAAATTTAGGCTAAACGTAGAAACAAACTGAGCATGAAATATCCAACACTGGAGGGTGATGGTGCATTGTCCAACAGCAAACAAACCTGTTGTTAGCCTATGGATGCGAGATAAGTTAATATGGCTGAGAAATCTCCAAAACTCCAATTAAGTATGTAGATCTGTGCGGCGTGTGCAGAGAACATACTACATGTAGTAAATACATTACATCATGCAGGTGAACAGTTCTTTTGGCTGATCATAGCATTTTGCTAGCTAGATTGTTTTGCTTTTTTTATTGCTCAAAGTTAAGATATTACAAGACTAAAGGGAAATTTGCGGTGGGTCTTTTTTGGAGGATATACCCTTGTTTGTGGCCGTTTTTCTCCACATTCCAGCACCAAGGGCTTGACCCCAGATGTGTCTTGACCCGAGATGTGTATTCTCATTAAAAAATTATGTCTGACCCAGCAAGACTATGGGCTTTGAAAATGATATCCACAAACATTATACACTGAGTGTGTGCACTTAATATTCTGATAAATGCAGAAAATCAGATTTTGTCAGTAATCCGATCAACACGTTCACATGCACTTAGGTATTGAGGTAATGGGAAAACTCTGGGTTTACATGAGTCAGACGGTAATTAGATTTCTGCTTTGCAACCGGTCAGTAAACTAAACAGAAGAAGACGTGGAGTAAACATAAGCAGCTGCAGCTTTTGTTTAAAACTTGGAGCAACTTTACCTGAAAATATGAACGTACAACATCTGGAAGATGAAGAGTGAGGCTTTTATTTTGTTAAGCATGTAGATGTGTCTACGTTTTTGTCAGCTGAGCTTCTAGCCAATGAGGATTAGGCTCTGTCGTCATTAAGCTGTCTCACAGCTCGCGCAGCTGAGTGGTGAGCTACTGCAGTGCCTTGCTCTAAAAACTGCAGCAACATTGCTCCAACGTGATTATAACGGCATATTTCATTGTAACGGACCAGTGGTGCTGACCCAAGTTGGACAAAAAAACTACTGGCATGTACCTCTCAGAGCTAGGCAGTGATCAATCTGCACAGCGCTGCATTAAGTCAAGCCTGTGGCCTTAGAGCCTTATAGCTAAGCTAGTGCTCAGGATTAGTTGACACCACAGGGATATGATGTATTTGCGTAATGCAGTGTTTCCCAACTTTGGTTCTGGAGGCCCATTGCCCTGCACATTTTAGAGCTTTCACTGCTTTAACACACCCACTTCCACTCAGTAAACGGTTGTTAATGGGCTGATTAGTTAGACCAGGTGTGTTGGGAGCAGGGAAAACACAAATGTGCAGGGCAGTGTGCCTCTATGACCAATGTTGAGAAACAGTGGAGTAATGCATGATGGATATTGTAGTAAGAGAACATTGATGAACAAAAACATGAAAACACTATAAAATAATGCCAAACTAAAAATGCTGAGAGATATAATGGTATAAAACAGAATACTGCATAATATGGCAAATAATATATTAGTTTTAGGCCAGAAGTAATGATAAGGTCCCATTTAGGCCCCTTTAGCAGAATGTAATCACACATTATTATTCTCTTAACTTACTATTTGATATTCAGTTACCAGAAACCAGCAAATTGTTTTTACACTGCACACGTCACACTGGATATAGCTGGAGTATTCCTTTAATGAGTATGTGCATAGTTTGCCAGCCCACATGTTCTTTTTATTGAAAAGCACCAAAACTCTGAACTTTTCAAGTCTGTAACAGGGCTAATGAATAAACAAGACTTAGTGGAAAGCTGCAAGTCTAATTTCCTTCCAGTTGAAGGCCAGTAGAGTGTGAATGAGTGTGCAGGGGTTGGGTGGGGTGTACGGCAAAAGGCTCCTACAGGGCCTATATGGAGTACCATTGCATACTCATCTCACACACGTGTGACTCTCTGGCAGCAACACAGAAGGCAGCATCCGCACCCCAACACCTCAACACGCCCCGCCCAACAACTTTGAGGAGTGAGGTACAACTCAAACAGACCTACTTCTCTCCCTGCTTTCTCAGGAACACTTCATTTACAGCAGCGCTGGCTGGCAGAGGCCTTCAGATCCAAACACTAAAAGCTAAAAACTAATCCACAGACCTATTACCTCAGTGTTAGTGCTGTTGCGCTAACTCACTCCTGTGTGCTTAACAGTTCTCAAATCTCATTTAGGTCCTTGATGGAAAGTGAGCCAAAGTGCGTAAAAAGATGTTGTTTTTTTCTTGAATGTGCTGCCAGGAGTATGACTTAGAGGCTGGACAGCCTGACAGGAGAGGATGAAGCGTAAAAAATATCGAGGAGTTGGAAAATCCAGAGTTAATCTACTTCTTTGTGTAAAGGAGTGGAAGTCACTCTTTTTCTCCCACAGACTCTTGTTTGTATATGTTAGAGTTCGTGAGAATGAATGTTCATATTTGTGAACATGGTGGTGCGGTGAGGGAAAGCTAGAAAAGTTATTCTTGTACTGGATTCGATTGTGTATGAGAGTAAATTTGGATATATATATATATATATATATATATATATATATATATATGTGTGTGTGTGTGTGCGCGTGTGCGTGTGTGTAGGAAAAAAAACTTGGAAGCAATACTAACTCTGTAAACATAAATGTGAAATAAAATAATGGGCATTGAGGTGTTTACTGTCCAATATATAAATTTAAAAACCATACAGAAGGTGTGAGCAGTAATAGTGTACATGTTTGCTTGAGTTTATTTTCTGGTGATTCACCTCCTGTATTGCTCCTCTAATCATATTCTCCTGATCCTTTCATTCAGATGTTTCTAAAGGCTTGATGAACTCTTTGAAGTGTTCTATCAAGAGTCTGTAAATGTTTAAAAACTGGTCAGTGTGAAGTACTTTAGGTAACAAATGTGATGAAAGCTTTTTGTTTACAATGCATTGTAGAAGGATGACTTTGTCCTCTGCTGTTTCGCTCCATCCTTTCGCTTCAATACTGCTGCTACCACGCCCAAACAAATTTTTCTTGGCATTTCTTCTTGTGGGAGTTCCTGGTGGCATCGTAGCCCCTTTCTGCAGGCCCTCCAGTGGCCATTATTCTATCGGAATGGAAGTCAACTCAGATATTGTTAATTAATATAATCAAATTAAATACTTTTCCCTGTAACTCTGTTGTCAGATTAACTAGGACCCCATTGGCTCTCCGTGTGTGAAATGTTGTGACTCTGTGTTGAGCTGCTAGGGAGCAATGAGGGGTGCAAACAGGAGTGTAAGAAACCCTTGCTGTGAAAACAGTCTCTTTACAAAGATGGCCGTGCTGAGGTAAAACGGACAGCACAACTGCAGCTTTCTTGACATTAAAAAATCTGGCACACAAAAATATTATTTAAACACAATAAAAACATTTTGTAAATATTGGCTTGCTTGCTCACCTATGAAGACAAACATAATTTATCATAATATTTTTCCTTTAATGTTATTGAACAATAAAAAACGTAGTTCAACGAAGGGACCTCCAAAACAGGCAGAAAATGCATTTAATGGCTACTGTGAAAAAGTGTTAGAGGGCAGATCCATTATTATAATAGTTCGAATGTCATTTGTTAGACCTTGCTCAGAAATCGGAAATCCTTTTTGTAGTTCCTTTTCAAATCTGAAAAAAAGCAGGAAAAGCTGTTTGCAAGTCAGAGCAATAAAATATTTTAAAATAAGGGTTACAAAGTTAGCAAACAAAGAAAATGCACCACAGTTTTCATTCTAAACCTGAAGCTTAAACCGGACAGTTATTTATATTTAAAAAGAGTTTCTGTGTTTTATGTTCAGACATCTGAAAAATGGTTTACATCCCAAAGTTTGCTAAGCAAGCTAATTTGCTCACTGAGGCTGTCCTAGCTGTGGTGCATTCTTATTGAGAAATCCACCCCCCCCTCCCGGTCCTATGAGTGGCCACTTGTGTAACATAAGTGCTGCAAGCTTCTAAGTTGTGTGGCAAAATCATTGAGCACCGGTTAAAAACAATATTGAAACGCAGGTTAACAGCCTTATGGCTTTCCAGTACCTCATCCCAGTCCACCTTTTTCGCAGCATCTGAAGCACAGAGAGCCATCTGATCCTTACAGACCACAAAGCTGCTCATCCTGGCTCAGATTTTCACAGAGCCATGGGCAGATTTAGGAGTAGACTGGGCATCAGGCCAGAAATAGAAGTGAACTCAATGCATGATTATGTGAGCAGGTTGAAACCTGCATTTATCAGAACAGTGCAGAGAAGGGTGGAGGAGCAGTAGGGAGGAAAACCATACAGCAGCCTATATTGTCCACATGTAGAACTTTCTTATGGAATGAGGTTAGCTTAGGGCAGATGTAATACTTAGAAAGCAGTAAATTCTCTATGCCTGTACGGTTGACAGGTTGTTTTGTTGGCCATATGGTTGTTTTGTTGGATGGCCTGGTTTTACATTGATAGGTATTTGGATTATAACAGTCATAAGGAAGAGCAATGAGCTAATATATAGTGATATATTGTGATATTAATTGTCTATGGAGTTTCAGAGAAACTAGGAAATGCTAATTCCCATGTTTGGTCATCATGAGACACTCATCACAGCGTAAGACACAAGGCTTTTCCTTTCTCCTCTCTTACCTATGATCATATCGTTGATTCTCTCCCTGCCACACAAAGCATTTCCTTGGGAATTGATCCTAGGTACAATTTCCCCCTGTCCCCCTACCCCTCTTCTGTCTGTCAAATCTTTCCTCATTTCTTTACATTTTGTCATTCATGCTAATAGTGGTGGTGTTGTTCAAAAAGAACCTTACATGCTTAGTTTTTTTTATTCATTTAATTTAATATTGTTTATTTATTTTGGCATGCAGTTTTTTTTGTCCTAAACTCCCCCTGTCAGTGGCTTTTTAAATCAGTAATGAACTCGTCAAATCCCATAATGCTTTAAGATCACCTCCAGTGATTGTTTTATGTTTTGCATTAATTATTGACCATGTTACTATTCTTAAATTATGCTTAATTCCATTTTTATTAAAGCTACACATGTGTGTTACTATAACAATGTTAAATAATGAAAGCATTTTTAAAATATTAATGTTAAGCAGTTGTAAAAAATCTAAATGAGCTGCCCCTTAATTGTCAGTATTGCCACTCACTGCTATTGATGCAATGTCTAGGACGTTCTACCGTTTTGAAGCTGCCTGGGATTCATCCATGCACAATTCACTCCTGCTGAACCGAGTGACTCCATATGGGGAGAAAATCTACATGACTGTCTCTGCTTACCTGGAGGTAATGTTGGAGACTCACAAAACTATGCTGCATAGCAAAAAATTGAACTGGTAGCCACCTTGAAGTATGAATTATGTTTCTACTTTTGGCAGTTTTTATAGATAACATTCTGTCAAAAAGGTGTCAGAATCTACATAAGCAAGTCTGTTTGAGATTACTTAACAACTTGGAGTTTGGTTTGAGACAAGTGTAAAACGATTTAGGCAAACATTAATTAGTGAATCGAAAGCTTCTATTACTGCGAATCTCCAATGGAAAACTAGAGAAGCAAACTTTGGACAGCCATCCACGGCTGGGAGCCTCTGTGTGGGTATGATAGCCATACCTCTCCTCATCACTCAGTGTGGGTGTCTGTCTGTTAGCTGACGTAACAGAACTGACAGTTACTGTTTTCCTTCAGGCACATTGAGCAGATTAAAAAGAGGCGGTGGCCCCTGACATGACTCGGAGAAAGTGTGTGTTAGCATTCACTCTCCTAGCCCTGTGTGACTGGGAGTGACCTAGCTAGCGGGTAGAATTGGACACAACTAAATAGGGAAGAAAACTGGGGAAAATGCCAAAAACATTCTTAAGCCTCAGTTGAGGTGCTTGGTAAAAGAAACCAGGTAGCCTGTCTTCTATGGTTTGACAGTTTACGCCTGCAGTAGCCCAACCAGACTTATTTTTGTGCTTTTCAGAGCTGTTTATGAGCAATTGGCCTAAAAATTATTTCTTACTTCATCAGATGGAGAACTGTACACAGCCTGCAGTTATAACCAAAGACTTCTGCATGGTGTTCTACTCACGGGATGCCAAGCTCTCAGCATCACGCTCTATCAGAAACCTCTTCAGCAGTGGAAGCCTGAGGCCATCTGAAGGGTATGCACACCATGCCATACTTTATTCATCCACACAAACAGCACAGATGACATTTGTGTGGATGTAGGTACATAACAAATATCTGTGACAGTTTTGTTTCCTGACAAAGTTCTCTTTCACTAAGTTGTAATACTTTGTACAATTTTTTTGTTGTAGAAACCGAGTTACTGGAGTGTATGAGCTCAGTTTGTGCCACCTGGCAGATGCAGGCAGCCCAGGTAAAGCTTTAAACTCTCTGTTCTGATTATTACACAAAACCAATGAAATGAGGTCAATGAGGTTTGAAGCACCCGTCGAAGAGTACTATCACTTTGAATGTCTGTCGATTTGCAGGGATGCAGAGGAGACGCAGGCGGGTGCTGGACACGTCAGTGGCGTATGTGCGAGGGGAGGAGAACCTGGCAGGTTGGAGGCCTCGCAGTGACAGCCTCATCCTGGACCACCAGTGGGAGCTGGAGAAGCTCAGCCTCCTGCAGGAGGTATGAGACACCACATAGCATAAAATCTCCCAAACACATGAGCCAGTCTCTGCTGTTTCTCAATAAACTAGTCTGATGATAATGAATCATTCAATGATTTGGTCATGAAATGACCAGTCTGCCTCCTGAGTGGTTTAAATAGTTAATTTTTGCCAGAGCTGTCCAGAGCTCACTGCACCAGCTGTGTTCCTAAAAGTTTAAATTTACAGAGTTACCGGTTCCTTTTAAAATAAATTGTAGGTTAGTAATATAAAGACTAATTAAACTTAATAAAGGGAGTCAAATTAACAATGTGTCTGTACTTTTTGATTAGCATATGTGAAAAAGATGTTCCAAAAGGATTAGATGCCACTAAGGCCACGGACCAAAAACTGTAGAAAAGTCAGTACACCTGGTCAGTACAGTGACTTCCCTAAACAAAGGACCAGGATTCAGAGTAATTTTTATATTTCCTTGGCAAACCTACAAAAACCTTTGAACTCCTGGCAGCACCTACACAGGCAAAAATAAACCTGGGCTGTCAAATTCTGCAAATCATCAAGCAGTGGTCATGTGACTGGTTTGATGCCAACATCAAGCTGAGAGAGAAAAGGAACTGTAGCATCGCTCAGGAGAAGAAGTATATTATAATCCTTTGTAGTCTGTTTAAAATGCCTAAATATTTGTTGAAAATTGTAAAGTTAACTCTTTTAATATGACAGTGCTCCTGTACCATAAGTTCTAGTTGTTGGAGTCTGGCGATTTACAAATGTAAACCTTGGACCTCGTGATTTACACATGAATACCTTGAAAACTGTGATTAGTATTCAGCTATTAAGCCTTATTATTCACTGTGACCTATCCATGCCTTTGCAACAAATGCATTATTTTGTAGCAACTGTTGCGAGATGAACAAGCTGTGGAGCACACATCTCTAAAAAATACATTAGCATTGTCAATTTCAAATGATATTTATTTTTGAACAACACATTTGTGGGCGGAGCATGGATAGATTAATTATTTGGTGACTACTGTGAAACTAATACAAGGCCCACATACAGACCTTTGGGACTGTTTATGTCCAGGTTAGGTACATGATGTTTGAAAATATGGTTCCTTTTATGTTGATCAGGTGGAGAAAACCCGGCACTACCTCCTCCTGAGGGAGAAACTGGAGTCCACCCTGCTGCTGGGCCAGGAGCCGTTGCTGTCCTGCGGGAATGAAGATCCCGCCGAGTCCTCTTCCCCCGCGGCCCACCCAGGGTTGAGCCACAGCCCTGAGACTACACCCAGACCAGACACCCCCAATGAGAGGCAGCGTGAACTCGCAGCCAAGGTGAGTCAGCGTCTTAACTAGAAACGCACACAGGAGGAAATGTTACACATAGAGGATATTTCTTGTAAACTGTTGAAGACCCACTGCTTCTGTATTGTATTAATCATTGGTTTATTGTGGTGGAGCTCTGCTGTGACTCATCCTTTTAGCCAAACGTACCTTGATCACACAAAGACACTGAACAAGCTGTAATTTAGACTTTGTGATGTCATTTTTTTGCATAGCTCCTCACGTGTCTTCTTGTCCTTTCAGTGTTTGCGTCTGCTGACCCACACCTTCAACAGAGACTACAGCCACGTGTGTGTGAGTGCAAGTGAGAGCAAGGTGAGGCACTAATACACAGTGATACAATACATAATAGATGCATAAACTAGAGCTGACATCAAAATCGACATGATACTGAGCTAACCCTGCTAGCTTGGCACTAACATACCCCAAAAAGAGCATTATTTTAGCACTGGTTTAAAAAAAAGGTTTTTTAAAAAAAAACACATTTTTACATAAAACACTGCTATGTAATGACATTGCTTTATTGTTTTATGCCTGTACTTTTCAGTGTTGTTGTGACACAAAGTGGGGTGAAATCACAGTTAAAACAGGAGTGGCTTATTGCTTTTTTAAAATGCATTTATTTAAGCCGCATTCATTCATTATAGAATATGTGTCAGTCGTACATATGTTGAGTATTTTATTGTGCTTTGGACGTGCTCCCATGCTTGTTTTAAAAAACTCCTATCTGTTCTAGAATTCTGAACTCAGGAAGAGATTGTAAATGCATTTTTGTGTCAAAACAGCATAAGAAACTCATATGGTGCAAGGAAACAGAGGTTCATTCTATGTTTTGTTTAGGAGCTTTTATTTTTAAGAGTGTCTAGGCTGTATTACCTGGCAGGTTTGAATGTTTGAATTGTTCATGGGCTACTCTGTCTGCGTTACTGTGTTTCAGCTGAGTGAAATGTCTGTAACTCTGATGAGAGACCCCTCAGCCACAGCTCTCAATACCCTCACACCTTCCTCCACCTGTCCCTCACTGGTGGAAGGTCGCTATGGCAGCAACACTGAACTCAGGTCAGTCTCATTGCACTGCAGTCACAGTTCTGTTCTGTTAGAGAAAGTACTGATTAGTCCGATAAAGTCATCAAACGAAGAACAGTGTTTTAAGATACAAGCCATTTTCACTGGTCTTTGTATGCCTCTTCTAAAGTGTTAATTAAAATTTTTGTTTGCAGACCCCCAACACCTCGCTCCCGTGCTATCAGCCCTAGTCCAGACTCTGCGCCTGAGGGAGAGGGCAAGAAATCCCCCAGCGGAGCCCCGGAGTCCAAACCGAGGGTCCACACATTTGTCCCTGACATTCAGGAGATCCGTGTCAGGTGACCTCTGCACTACAGCTGAGGACTCTAGAATGGATTTGTTTTTGGCATACATGCATTAGCACACGTACCAATTACTTTCATTAACGTAAAGCAAAACATTTGCTGGAAATGCATAATGTATAATGTATAATAACATTTCCAGTTCTTACAAAAGGCTAATCATCAAAATTGTCTGCCTTTTTAGGCACGCCTGTAACAATTCATGAGCTAAGAAAGTTGTTGACTAACTGGAGGGTTGTTTTGTTTTCACAGCCCCATTGTGTCAAAGAAGGGCTATCTGCACTTCCTAGAGCCACACACTAATGGGTGGGTGAAGCGTTACGTGGTGGTGCGCAGGCCGTACGTCTACATCTACAATTCAGAGAGAGACACAGTGGAGAGAGCCATCCTCAACCTATCTTCTGCCCAAGTGGAGTACAGTGAGGATCAGCAGGCTATGCTGAAGGTGACCTCCATCAGACCTAAACTCACCTGCATGTATACATACTCAGAGTAGATGTGCACATTAATATCTGATTTTTCTACTGATATTTTTACTTGTCAGCCACTTTATTAGAAACTCCTGTCTTGTAGCCAACTCACTGGTGTACTTATTATTTTAGTTCTACATTACTCTGTAACACCTCTATACTGACTGGACTATAGAGGGAAAACTCTATAGTCCTTTCAGTACTTTATTTAGAAAGAAATTGTCAATCACTGTAAACATCATTTAAGAGACACGTCACTAACGCTGTCCTTCAACAAGACACAGCATGCTATGCTGATTTAAAATTATGACTGGCTGATGCCCCGCAACCTAAAATTTTCATCAGTAAAATTTATGACAGAGCTGTTCCTTAACAAACTTTGAGTCTGGTCTGTGTAGGTGAGCTTGGGACTTCAGCATGGGGATCTTTGTCCATCAGTTTCATATTAGTGAGAATAGTTGCATCGGCAGGTTTACGGTGCTTACACTGTGTTGGTCATAGTGTTCACAATCAATACTCACAACCAAACTCATATAGTTAGCTGTCACAGGTCGCAAACACATGCTCGAATTGCGTACAAGGACCAGCACAGATAATCAGTACAGAAGAAATTTAAATGCATTGTTTTAAATGCATCATGTGCAATTAATATTGTTCTGTCAGAGATATGTGAGTTACAAAGTAACAGAATTATAACATAAACAAATCAAAGTACCTGTTCTTCAAGTCAGTAACTCTAATGTGATTACAGAGAATTAAACTGTAATGCGTTACACTACTTCATTACAGGATAAAAAGTAAACACTTGGCTGTAAAGTGTTACTTTCTACCATGGTAATCCATTAATCATCTGTAGTCCTTTATCAATTTTCAGTTTGTGACTACAGAGCTGTCTGTACTTGTACAGCTATATAATGGACCTATAAGTTAGATGGAGCTCATGAAGTGTCCAATGAGTGGAAGTACAAGTCTTTCTGATGAAGTGGATGGTGTGTGGGGTGTACAAACAGTTTTTGAGAAAAAAGAATGAACTGTCTCTTATTGTGAAGTTTATCCTTTAGAAAAAGCTACACTATGTAGGAAATGTGTATTTGGAGAGTGTAATTGCATGCAACTTGAGGAAGAACATTTTGTAACGTCCCCCTCAAGCAGATGAATCTGATGATTTCGAGCATGTTGAAATCTTGAATTTGTGAAATCCAACCCAACACCTCTGACTTTTAAATTACTATTTCCGGCTTTACAGGACAATTCACAGCGGCATACAGACACTATATTTTAGCTGGTCTTTTTTTCTCCTGACTCAGTAGTGCTACTTCTTTTAGTTTTAAGAAAAAAAATCTTTAATTAATATTGATCTCAGCACACAGCCTTTCTCATTCTGCTTGTGCTGTTTGCAGACTCCCTACACATTTGCAGTGTGCACAGAGCATCGTGGGATACTGCTCCAAGCCAGTAATGACAAAGAGATGCACGACTGGCTCTATGCTTTCAACCCTCTCCTTGCTGGATCTATCAGGTACGCAGAAGTATCTAATCCTTCGTTCTGTACATGTTAACATGCTGGTGTTTGTGCTATTGTCATTGTGTTTACCCTTTTTTCTCCTCAGGTCTAAACTTTCCAGAAGAAGAGCAGGTCAGATGAGGCTTTGAGAGAATCACACACATATACCTGCGGTACTGCTGTCTAAGAAGAGGACAAAACCCACAAAAGCAAAAGACTATCCTTGTAAATAGAGCTCCTGAATCTCCGGTTCCTGTGCTCAGTCCCGTCTCTAACCCTCAACACCCTTTGCTCTTCCTGTGTGTACCTGCACTCACCCTGTCTAGCACTAAGCACCTGTGTACTAATGGCTCCAATCGTGTGTCTGCAGGGGCCTGGATACTCAACCCATAACCCTCCTAAAAAGCTAAAGCCAGTACCTTTTGGGGGTATTCAGATTCAAATAGCAGTGGAGAATAGAAGCGTTTGCTTAGCTTCATCATAAATGCTTATATAGTCATTAATGCTCCAGAGCAAATGAAACAGGAGAGGTGTTGGCGACACTTACTTCCAAAGCTGTCTGTTCATGAGAAACATGGTTTAACTGGATTTGTTGCAATGAGGAAGGTAATACACGTACCCAGCAGGCTGTGCCTCGTCTAGAGTTTGGAGAAAGAAAAAGATAATTCAAACATTGCTGTCACATTGCCTTATTGTGTTATTCTTTTCGTGTGAGAGTCTACAGGATTACAACTTTCAAACTGGTCAGTATTTAAGTCAGTAAACCATGTATTTATTTTGTCAGTCAGCTGATAGAACTGCTCAAAAACAAGTGACACTCGTCAAAGGAACAGATTCATCCTAGCTAGTGCAGATTTTGGCCAGTGTGGAGGTGCCCATAAATAGTTATGTAACTTTATTATATTTCCCATAAAGAATAATCTGGACTGATGAGGAAATGTATGGCACAAGTGACAACTGTTCATGTGATTTCCTCATAGCTGTGTGTAAACAAAACATGGGTAGATGTTTGAACAGAGCTGGACAGTCACTTTGAGTCATGCTGGTGTCGTATCTGAAAATGTAACGTAATCCAGTCTAATATTTTCTAGAAGGTACAAGGTGTCCCTTAATGAACTTATCTATGGTTGAATTACTTTATATTAAAAATCTTATGGAGTTAGATATTTATTTAACATGCATTTATTTATTTCATTGTGTATTTATTGACAAAAAACATTTTGAAGTTTAGTGCAATCTCTGCATAAAGCACTTTTTATCATGAGTTTTACTAACCTCTTACCTATGTATCATGCTACTCTCCCTGCTCAATCCCCCGAAAGACTTTCGAGGAAATAGGACAGGAGTTGATGCTGGGACAGCTGCTACTAGAAGTAGATTACTTGAATTTTTAATTTATTTTGAATGGTTGAAATCAAGGAAAGGGCCTGTTTGTGAGATCAGTTGTCTAAAAGATAGAGGATCATTACCCAGAACACTTAAAAAACATAAAGTCTGTACAATCTCCAATGTTAAAAGCAGGTTTTGTGGTTTAAAGGTGTAGTATTTTGTACAGGCTCCCCAGGTTTGGAATGGGATATGATTTTAGTGCCTCTTCTTTAAGCATATCTGCTGTACACCTGTTGCTTTTTAATATTCTCATCTACATTCTCATTTGCTGCTTTTACAGTTCTCCCTTTTCCAGTCAGCCCACTAGCCTCTCTTTACGCTCACAGGCATATTTACACAGTTCTGGAGTTGTAAATTGAGTTTACATGTTATGCATTTAGTGCAAAGTCATATTAGCGTTTTTTCTAAGCATATGTAGTGATCGGTCTGATGTTTCTACTCCTTGTTCACACAAATTGACCCATTTACAATTTTTGGCTCCTACTTGGAGATGGAGCTAATGTACAGTGTTTGTGATGCACCATATATTGGATCTCAACACACACAGAAAAACCTATTCAGTCCCAAAATCCCTGTTTAAAACATCAAATTACCTCAGTTTAGATACTCTTGCGGTGGCACTTAGAGACTGTGAGTTTAGAGGCTGCACTACTGCGTTTTAATGGCACTCATAGGTTTAATAATTAGGGTCTCATTATTGGTATGTGTGTGATGTAACCGTTGGCTTAATGCTTTACGAGGTGTGCAAACTCAACGGCTTCGTGTCTGTGTTGTTACTGAAATGCCACTGTTTGTGTAAGAGTGAAAATCTGTGTCCACATCGCCTCACTGCGAGTGTTGGTTAACTGTAGCTTCGTCGTGGCCAAGTTAAATTTCCAGGAATGTTCAGCACCACTGATTTGCGCTGTTGTGGTTGGTCGTACTCACTCGTGTTTTCATGATCTCTTTTCTCATTTGTTGATTCAGTGCTGAGTTTGTTTAGACAGAGGGACTTGTGAATTAGGCTGGGGGGGTTTTGTTGCCCTGACCTTGACTTGGGCAGTCACTGGAGCAGAGGCCCAGTATCCCTGTTTGCTATAGCCAAGCCAGATGGACTATGATGTGGTGTGAGATGATTGGAGGATTCCCTGGGCTCCCCTTTGGGACAGGTACAGGCATGACAGAGGCCAGCAAACCTCCAGAGCATGCTCAGTAAGACCCAGGGATTCTGGCAGTTTGAGACAACAATTGGTCAGAGGTTTCAGTGTTGAAGTTAAATGTATACGTCTATCACTTGAGGTTCTTATGTAGATTCATTTGTAGTAGGGCTGCACAATATGGACAAGAATATATTGTAATTATGTGAATATATATTGTGATCTGGTGACTGCAGTATACAAATGAACCTATAATGCAAGATAGTTCATGATTGGTCTGCATCATGTTGAACAAAATTATTCATGTTTCTTTGATCATGTGAATACCTCAGTTCATCACACCAGTAGAAACTTATCTGGATTATCCAACATTGGCCAAAATGCTCACAGTTAACAATAAAACAGTCAGTGGTTGGTTAGAGAGGTCATTGGTTACCAGGCTTCGTGATATTAATACAGAAACAACATATTGTGCAGCCCTGATTTCTAGTTTATTCCTTTAGTTAAACACCCTATATACTATCTGACCAATCATTTGAGCCACTTGGACATATCAGGGCTACTTACTATATTGTTATCCACAGAGTTCACTATGGAAATGCACTCTTTGCAGTGAACATTATTTAACTATGTGCAGTCCTCTTTAACAGTTTCAGATGAAAATTTTCAAACTCTACGTATTGGTCTACATTTGTGCATGAAATTTGATTGCAGAGTTGTCTGATCCATTCACATATCTCTTAAGGTAGAACAGCCGTGTTACCGCACATCTGAAAAGATATCAAAGAAATGACTTTCCTTTTGCGTGTATGTGTATGCAAGAGTTGTCTTTAGTCTGTGCACCTTTTTGAGAATGTTGTCGAGTGTGTGTTGGATGAGATTTCTAGCTCATATCATCTCAACAAGGACCAGGTATTCATTCCATTGTCGTCTTCAGCCTATAATGAAAACCATTCAGCATCACATAGCTTACATACAGCAGCCTCCACAAGAAAAAAAGAACAAAGGAATACTTTCTTTTCTTATTCGCATTAATTTCTGTGCTTCCATTTTCATTGTATGCACAAACTCCATTCATTGGCACTTTTCTGTCTTCTCAGTTTACTTTGCATTGTACATAAACAAGATTGCTGTGAATGGTGTAATATGCAGCTGTTACCATCTTAAATGGGCAGTAGTTTAATGTCTCTTTTGAGTGTTGGAGTTATGAGTCAAAATGTTTGTGTAGCCTACACCTTAACACATGTCTGATATAAAATAAATGTGGAACTTATGCAACACTATTAAATGCCTCTGTGTGTGTTTTTTTATTTAAATTTGTGGGTCTTATACAGTTGTATGCAAAAGTTTTAACACCCCTGTTTAAATGACGTGATTTCCTAAATGAAAATAAGTTAACACGCGTCATTTTTATGCACAGTTTAGTGCTCACTTTACAGCATATTGCACAGGCCACATTTTATGTTTAATTTAGCTTATGTTAAATTGAGCAAATAAACAGTAATTATGTTTTAAAATGCAGAAGTGTGTTGTCTGTAGAGCATGTGTTAACTTGCTTTCACTTGGAAACTCAACAAACGTCACCTGACCAGGAGCGCCCAAACTTTTGCATACGACTGAAAAGCAAGGATCAAAATGGTCAAGGATTCTGATGAAACAGAGAGATGTCAGGATGAATGGTATTATTTCTGCTTATTGTATTGGTAGATGCTTTAGCATCCATCTGCTATTCGGAACACAGTGACCCTGAGGCCCATTAAGAACTGATTTGATTTTAACGTATTCAACACGTTTTCTAAATTGTTTTCTGAATTCTCCGTCAATATACATATTTTATAATGACAAACTTAAATTTTACAAGAAAATAATCAACTCTGTTGTTGCTGTAAGGATGCGCCCCTGCAGAATAAGGCATTATTTGTAAAATGAATGGTCAAATTTGTTATAGCAAATTTGATATGGCCCCAACCTGCGGCACATCCAGCCTTTACTGGCGGCCCACATACTACATAGAATGATGCCACAGGGGAGGGGTTAGATGCAGCTGCCAGAACCCAGCCTGTTTACTGCCATTAGAGGGCTGACCCACCACTCAAAACCACTAGTACAACGCTTGAGCCGTTACAGCAACTTCCCTGTTGGGTGGGACCAGGTTCAGGGAGTGGAGGCTAGCATGTGCTTGCCCCTCTTTGACTACCAGCTGCAGATGACTGTGGCATTAAAGTGATTTCAACTCATGATTGCCTGATAATGGGGTAAATGCTTAGCCTATTCCACTCTGGTACTCCTGTTTCTAAGCCTAAATTTCCAAAATAAGCCTACACGTCCAAAAGGTTTACTACTCTGTGATGAAGATTTGTTTTCATTTAAAGTAACATGGCTGAATTAAAAGTTTAAGTTCATGGAACAATAGAGAAGTTTTGTTGTTCTATTAACTTACTATTTGATGTGCAGTAAACACAAAATTTTAAGCAGCTACAAATCATTTTAAACTAAATCTGAATTAAACTACAAACTAGGATAAGTAGTCAACAAAATGTCACATAGGCCAAAACATTTTAGGCTGGATTTTTTACAGTGTACTGTGCCATGTATGGCTGAGATCTGAATTGAAACTATGCTCCCACACAACCCTGTTAATCAATCAATGTGGCAATCATTTAAAACATTAATGATTGTCAGGTAGCTCATGTCAACACTGTCTTTGCCAGAAGTGGCCCAGGTCTGTTTTGATACATGTGGGCCATACAAGCAGTTTTCCAGTGTCAGTGGCAGGCAGCACTGCCAGAAGTGGCCCAGATCTGTTCTGGCACATGTGGGCGCAATAAGCTTCTTTATTGTGGGTCACTTTTGGCTCACATGCATTTTGCCAGTGCCAACCACACGCCAGGAGTGCCATATCTTTGCTGCAAATGACCCAGATCTGCATGCTATCTGGGACAGAGCCTTTGGATTTAATTAGGTTTAACCTGTGTGCTTGGATTTAATGACTGATAAAAGTAACAGAAGTCACCCAGCTGCAGTGTCTGTGATCAGAAATACACTGTCATGATGACTCTGCCCAGCATTCGCCTTTCTGAGAAAAAGGTAAAACAATGACGTTCTGTTTAAATGGAAAGTATGAGATGATAGTGATATGATTTTTTGTACTCCTTGTCTAACTTCTTGACTAACAGTGTTTTATGTAATAGCTAGATCAAACATGCTTACATGTCTAATGGTAAATGGAAACTAATATTTACTCAGTTATTTAGCTTAATGCCATTTGCATCATGTTTTTTGTTGGCTATAGTTGGTGGTTTACATTGTTAGCACTATTAGCTTTTTTTTTACTGAACTTTTCCTTACATTTTTGAAATGGCTTAAAATCATCGGTGGAACCAGACAGAGCTGTTTCTGCCTTAGTTAATGTTCAAATGTTCTGGAAAGTGTTGTGTTTGCTTTGTTTCTCTAACCGAACATGAAGGATTCTAATCTATAGTCGAGTTTCTCTAGACAGAAGCCAAAACAGTTCTCCTTCTGAAAGATCAGTGTGTCTGGACTACATAAGTTTACTAATGTAAAAAGAACAAACAATGTGTTTCATTTGTAGCAGAGATATTTAGGTTGTTTGTATGAAAAAAAATATTAATTTTGTTAAAATATACGTTTCTAATAAATTAAAAAAAAATAATTTTGCAAAAAAAACAAAAGTGTTAGGTTGTTAAAAAGTCTATTCTTGCTAGGCAGAGGAAAAAAAATCACCTAAAATTTTTCTCCTTCTCTCTTTCTTGCAGTAGTAGGTCTGTCAAGATTTTGAGTTAGTATGTTGACAAAAAACTACCTAATGTCTCAAAATATTGACGGACTATGCCAAAATAATGACTTGCTGGGTCAAAATAGTGACTTTGTATCTTGTGATAAAGACATATATAAAAAAAAACTCACAAATTGTTTTGACACAGTATCTTAAATTCCTTAGAAAATAAGTCATTATTTAAAGATCTGATCTAAAGTCATTATTAATCGTTATTTTGAAATATTAGGTATTTTGTTTCAGGATGATAAGTTAATCTTTTGAGAAAATAATCATTATTCCAAAATAAAAGTCAGTATTTCAAGAACATAAATACTTATTTCAAAATACTAATATTTTAACATACTGCTGCCAGAAACAGAAAAGGGAAAAAACACTGACATTCTTAAGATGGGTTTTTTTTATCATCATCATCAAAAATTCAAAGTAAGGAAGGCAGAGGTGACTTACTGTCTGGCCCAGACGTTTACTTACTTACTTACAATTAATATGTTCTGGTCATTTCCATGAGAGGCTGCGTTACAGAGTCTCTGAGTGGGCCAGGAGAATATACACACTCAGGCTGTGTGAATAAGTGTGGAGTGTGTAAAGCTGGATTGGGGACCCAGCCTGCTTTAACCTTCTCTCGACACTGGATGGCGCCCTGCAAGCTTTTAGAGCAGGAGGAGCGCTAGGCTAATGCTTCCTGCATTAAGGGTCTGTCTGAGCCGAGCTGGAGGGGGGCAGTGAATGATTGACCAGATACAGTCTTCTGAGAGTAAGTGACCCCGCTGAGCCCAGCAGCTCTAACTGTCTGATTATTTCACCTCCATTCGTGATAAAATACGCGCCGTGCTGTATGTGATGCTCTCGTTATGGCGCTCGGTAGGACATGAGTGAGTAAAGCTGGTAAAGCCGCTTCACACGTGGACAACCGGCTCTGTTCACGCAGCTGACCCTTTATTGTAGTTTATTTTATAATGATGGTGAGATCTAGCAGCACAGAGAGCAAACAAAACTGTTTTTAGTTCGTTTGTGGGCAGAAAATGAACCGTGTAGTTGGCTTGATTCAGTAACAGCGACTGCAAACGCGCTTTATGGTGGAGACTGAGCTGAATGTGTTTTCATGATGTTTCTCCGCGACACTTCATTTAGATAATGTCTGAAAAAGCTGCTCCCCCGGTTGTTCCGGATCACAGTTCATGGGACAAAATCTCACTCCATGTGGGAGCAGATGCAGACGCGGAGCTTGTGGCGGGGCCTGGTGTGGAGAGGTGAGAGACGGGCTGATTCATCAATACACTCTCCATCTGCTTTGATAGAAACCTGCCTTCTTCCTGCTTTAAGGCCTGAATCATCAGCTACACTAATTATTTATTTCATTGAATTGGTTTTCAAACACAAACAAAAGTACATCCAGTTTAAAGTCACGTGCTGTGCTTTTAATGGGCCCATATAATTGAAAAATACATTTCATATAGTATGTAAACACTGCTAAAGTTTCAAAACATGCTGTTCATTCTCCAGTCTATATATGAAAACTTAAGCTCGAAAAATACACCATTTTGAATCGTATTAGTGACATCGCAAAAACCAACTCATGTACATATTATATCCGTAATTGCCTACTCAATCTACAGCAGCTTAGCTCTGCCCATTTACATTGAAGTTAACAGGAGTGTTTTTGCCTAGGCTGCCTTTTTCATGTGGTACAATAGAGGACAGCCAATCAGAATAGCTGTCGTTTAAATATATCTCTCTTAAAGACACAAAAAACAGACTGTCTAATTTTAAGGGCCAAAAGAGAGTTTGGAAAATAGTCATGTAGAAATGAATTATGTGTGTTTTGGTACATAAAACCACACAAACATCACAAATGGATGTCAACTCACGCACCAAGTTTATAAAGTTTATGTGTGTGTGTGTGTGTGTGTGGAACACAGTAAAACATTCACCTTTTGTTGTTTAATCACTCCTGTGTTGTCCTTTAACTTATCTCACATTTTAGCTGCATCACTCATATTTTCTGTCAAACTCTACATATGCTTTGAAGTGGTATTTCCTTAGTAATGGCTTATTTCTAGCCCATCCTCCTGTACAGGCCAGTTGTATGCAGGGATCTTGTTATTGTTGACCAGTGCATCTTTACTCCAGTCTCAGCCACTTGTGCATGTATAATTAACTTATAATTACAGAGGTTATTGTTTTCCTTTTCAACCAGAATATATATGGATTACAATGCCACAACACCTGTGGAACCTGAGGTGATCAGTGCCATCACAGAGGCTTTACGTGATGCTTGGGGGAACCCTAGCAGCACATATCTGCCAGGTATGTTGTCAGACTGCTCACATGGACACACAGTGGACCTCTGGGACTCGATGAAGAACAGATTTACCTATATATTCCAGTCTCTCTTCAGGTTTGAAAGCCAAAGACATCATTAACCAGGCCAGAGACAGCATAGCTAGAATGATTGGCGGAAAGGCATCAGATATCATATTTACCTCTGGTGGCACTGAGGTGAGAACCTGCACTGTTTAATTAAACTTCAGTCAAGTTTATCAATTTCTGCACAGAGAGAGGAAAGATCTTGACTATAATGTTTCACTCTCTAACAACAGTTGCTCCTTTTTCTCCCCAAATGTTCCTCAGGCTAATAATATGGTGTTCCATTCAGCGCTGGAACACTTCTGGAAGACCAGAGCATCGGCTGAGGGAGGCTGGGAGGAGAACCACCAGCTGAATGGCAAGAAGGTCCTCCCTCACATAATCACCTCCAATGTGGAGCATGACTCTATCAGACTCACAGCTGAACACTTGTTAAAAGTAGGCAAAGCAGGTAATGAGAAGGATTTACACTGGATTACAAGAACTGCTTCTGTTAGATTTGAACTGCTTAACTCCTTAACTCTAGACTTATGATTCAGTTATTAATCCTGAAGCTTATTACTCAGCTTGTACTGTTAATTCATTAACTACTATTATAACTAATACGTTATGTAGTCATAAGAGTGAGTTTAAATTTATTAGGAAACTTTTCCATTTGTTCTGATGCTGCTTTGATTGGACTTTTGTTGTAGATGTCACTTTCCTGCCCGTTTCGAAGGTGACAGGCCGGGTGGAGGTGGAGGATGTTATGGCAGCAATGCGTCCCAACACCTGCCTGGTGACAGTCATGCTGGCCAACAATGAGACAGGTGTCATTATGGTAGGTGGACTACAATACCAGTCCTTTATGCCAGCTATTTTTAATTTGAGTTTTTGTGCATGCATGCTGTTGCTTTTATGCATCAGTTAAGTGTTGTGCAGTGCGTTTTACCCAGGCATTCAGCTTACACTTAAATGTCTTCTCGTTCCATTTAGCCAATTAAGGAAATTTGTCAGAAGGTGAGGTCAGCAAAGAGGTCATCTTCTTCTCCAAGAGTTCTGCTGCACACTGATGCTGCGCAAGCCATTGGGAAGATAAAGGTGGATGCACAAGAGCTGGGGGTGGACTACATGACAATAGTTGGACATAAGGTAACAAATGGGATTGTCAAGGCCTAAAGCTGCAGTCACACTAGATTTCTGCAGTTTGCGTCATCTTGCGAAATGGATGTGACCGAGGCTGGTCTGGAATTTGGTTGACAAAAAACAAATTAACAATGTCAGTACTGTTAGTAAGCTAGCTAACTCACAGCCATAAATAGTAACGATGTAAATGTGAACATAATTATGTCGGATAATTATACTTGTAAGTATAGTGCTGCACACTTTATCTGTATCAAAAAATATAGATAACATGGTTGGTGCCTGTGGGGTGATTTTCCATATAGGAAAATAAAATACATGGATGTATTTTTTTTTATTTGAGATGCATTTCAAATACATTGTTTATTTCTAAAATGTAGTTTGTACAGCTGCGGTTAGCCATGGAGCTCACATAGCAGTTAACAAGCTGGCTAACTTCACTAAAACCAGAAAAGTAAAGACAATAATGAAGTCTCATTTTCATGTGTTGATTTATAGCCAGTGAGGAAGAAAGGGTAAAAGGTTCATGCTTAGAAATTGTTATCAGTAAAGGACGTGCATTTGCTTGTCCGAGTTCATCAAAGTTGAAATTTCACATGCTATTTAAATTGCTGTGGAATTCTGCTATGCAAAATCACTAATCGCCGCAAATTCCATTTAAATTAATATACAGCTTGTCTGCCCTTTACCATCTCTTTACACTCAAAGTGGGTAATTTTACCTGTTTATCATGTGTTCCAGTTTTATGCTCCTCGAATTGGTGCCTTGTATGCGAATGGTCCTGGAGCGATGACCCCCGTTTACCCTTTGCTCTTTGGTGGAGGACAAGAGCGTAACTTCAGACCAGGGTATTGTATGGCTTTATTGCCTGGCACTGTAGTATCAGTGTTGTATAGCATTGCTATAAATTGAAACCCATAAATAATCAAATAAAACCAGATAATACTTGAGCACTGACTCTAAAACTGAAATTTATCCTACCTTCTTGTTTCTTAGGACAGAGAACACAGCGATGATTGCTGGTCTGGGGAAGGTAAACTCTGCTGTTTGTCAATATTTACTTGTATTTTTTTTAAAAAGACCACTGACAGTATGACCACCACTGTGACTTGCATGTGACAAGGCTAGTGAACAGTATTTCAGTGTTTTAAATATCTCCACTCAGGCTGCAGAGTTGGTGACTGCAAACCTGGCAGAGTATGAGGCCCATCTTCTGGACACTAGACTTTACCTGGAACAGAAGCTACTGGTCAGTCCTATTAGTCTGTACAGTGTTACTTTACAGAGTGTCTCTTGTATTCACTGTTTATATGCATTAACTTTCAGGATGAGTGATGTTTAAGTGATGTTATGTATCTCTGTTCTCTGTTTTTAGGCCACATTTGGAAAAGAGAAAGTTAGATTCAACAGCCATTTTCCTGGCACAGAAACACTGACCAACACATGTAATGTGTCAATTTTGGGTCAAGGACTGCAAGGTGAGTGTCTTTAGTCATGTTCTCAGTCTTTCATTTATTATTTTTTCTAATGAACGCAATCTGCAGTCGAATGCAAAAGTTTTGGCACCCCAGTCATGTTTTGTTGAGGTTTTTAAATGAAAATCATCTACTGAGAACACACTTCTATACATTTTGATGCACAATTACAGTCTATTTGCATTTGACAATTTAACATTGTTTAACATGAAGTGTGTAAAAAAAAGTGTGTCTACACATTCATACTCCACATATAACAATATTAAATTTAGATATTCAGTTGGTGTGAACAGTCTGGTTGTATTGTTGGAAGGTATTCCAGATATTTTCCCTTCTTATGTCTGGACAGTCTGAAATCTCAGTTCTTTTTGTGAACAATCTGAAATTTGGGCTTGTAGCCATTTGTTTGGTTTCTGTCGAAGGGGCTTTGGCAGTGATGCTCGATCACTCAAATATTAATGTATGAAATTTATTAAAAAGTTTGACCAATTAATTTAGTAAATGGTTTTTCACATCGTGTGCTGATCAAAAGTGGGTCAGATCATGACCTCGACCATTTGTAAAACACAATAGCTTCACTGAATAATTGATCTGACCTCCCCCTGTCATAGGTCACAGAGTGCTGTCCACCTGCAGGAGGTTACTGGCCAGTGTTGGCGCTGCCTGCCACTCAGACCGAGGAGATCAGTAAGTTGCCTGGGCTTGAACTTGCACACTCCAAGAAACTGCGCCATAGCTCTTATGGGGTCGGTATAAATTTTGTAACAGTAAGGTCAGACTGAGGTTGGCTAGTGCTGAATTAGTTAATGCAGATAGGAACTTGGTTCAACTAATATACTTCAGTTTGTTTGTGGGGATGAGTCAATTTTCAGTCTTGAAAGTCAAAAAAATTAATACTAATAGTAATGAATTAGCATTTTTGATAGGGAAATTAGTTTCTTTCTAACATGATACATTCTTATTTTTAAAGGAATATTTTGGTGGAAAATGTACATTTTTACCACTTGCCCCAAATTAGCTAAGACATGTTTGGTGTCCAAATTTAAATTTTTTTTTCGGTTTAGAACTGGATGTGGACAGTGATTGGTCTTTGCGATCGCAGTCTGTTGGGAAAGCACCGCTGCCGTTCCTCCATCTCTAGTAGGAACAAATATCTAGGAACCAATAAAGGTGCATACCGTTTCATTGTGGCAGAGATTAAGTACTTGGCACCCAGCTCAGTTGCCATTGCAAAGTACCACATCTCTTTACTCCTAAATTACATGAAGTTAAACATTGCTCAACTTTATGTCGCTGATTCCGCACAGTTGGCATAACCAATGTTTATGCTGCCTCCGGTTTCCGAAAATCGCCAGTTCTCGTTGACTGTGAATAACTTTCAGCCACTCTGTCCCATTGCATCGCTGCTGGGATGAACGCAGTGTACGACAGTTTGGAGCTGCATATCGAAAAATGATAAACCTACATTACATTCCATTTTGCAAAAAACAGAACGAAGGAATCTACGAGTAGTCTGATACGTTACTACCGATTTCAGAATGTAGTCTGTGGCTTTGGCCAATCTCTGTGTATGGGGTGATCACTTTTCACTCAGTGATTACATGGAAAGTCTCCAGTGGAATATTCTAAAATCTGCAGCTGTACCAATTACATAATTACAGATGATGCCTCAAAGAAGAGGGAAGTGTGGTTTACTTTTTCTCTGTCTCTGTTGTGTTCACTTGCTGTCATGCTGTATAGCTGGGTCTGGGGCTATTCCTTTAAGAACAGTGAGATTGTAGAACTCTATGCTCCTTACAATAATAATACCTTACAAATTAAAATATCTCATTTGATTAAAATGCCCATCTCTGTTTGGTAGTGTATCTTAAATTCTGTATGTCATATCACGATTTGTAACTGTACATAAAATTTATTACAAAAACATAAAAATTGTAATAATAAAACACAATTAACTTTCGTTGCCAGCCTTTTATGAAACAGGAAATATTATTGTATGGCCAGAAGTTATAACATTCTTATTTAATACAACTTTAAAGTGCCAAAAGTTTGTTAAAATCTGTAATTTGTTGTCCCTCTGCAGTGTAATGCCAGTTATGCTTGCTGGAATTTACCCTCAGGAACAAAGATTGTTCCTACTAATGTGACTCCTGCCAATGCTAGTGCTAACATGCATCATTTGACATGACACTTTGAATATTGTTGACATCACTTCACTGTGCTCTGCAGACCTTCACATATTCTGCTGAACTGTGGGATCCCTTACCATGTGGCAATAAATGCTCTGCGGATCAGTGTGGGCAAAGGGACGTCTCGACAAGATGTGGACGCTGTAGTGGAGGACCTGCGAGACACTGTGGAACGACTGGAGCAGATGAACTAGTGCCTCGTTTCTGTAGCAACCCCTTGTGGAAGCTACTGCGCAACTGTAAATGGAATCTGTATGCATTTGCTTGCATTGCTAACCGAGCAGATAAAAAGGTACAAAGTGGAAGTATCATGACTTGAAGTACCACAGTTGATGATGTGGCCAACTGTTTATTTGATTGTTGAACATTTTATGAATTTTAAAAATATTTAAACTATTTGTATATACGAAGTGTTGGGATCCCTCTCAGCAAATTACGTTAAGTTATGGGGCTGTACTTTTATGATCTAAATGCACTAATTATTTAGGGGTGTGTGGCTTGAATGATCGTGAATTATTTATTGGTTTGATTAATATGTGTTCTCAAGGTGCACACTGTGGGTTTTAAAAACCTTAAGGGTGCATAGATGGTCTTATTTTATCAAAGCAGTAATAGCTGGGGTGTATTGCACTGAAGATCTTCACTTAGCAGTGTGGCAAACGAACAGTAAGGTATTGCTGAGGGACTTCAGCTGCTTTAATGTCCTGATGTTGAGCTGTTCTTTCATCATTAAATATCACAAGCTTCAACCAAAACTGTGCCAGTCTAATCCCTTGTTCTCTTTGTAGATGACACTGCTTGGGCTATTCAGAGGAGCATGAATATTTAATATGAGTTGTAAAAACCCAGAGTTAACCCTGTCCGTGCCTCCATGCACTGGTCCTCACGTGTCTTCAGGCTCTGGCTATCATGTTACTTAAGTTTCCGGCAGGCCTGTGTTGCTCAGTCCAGCCATGTGTGGTGGCATGTGTCTGTCTGGGCACAAAGGCCGTGCTGGGCCATGAGCGACTGCTTTTGTGCCGTACCTGGGCTTCTTTCATTACCTTTACAGCTCACTGGGCCTGACCCGCTCCTCTGCGCCCTCCACACACACATACACACGTACGCCTGCCTGCCAGCTTGCAGTATCTGTGGTGTCGGCTTCCACCAGCCACGCTAGTATGTGTATGCGGTCAAGGTAGGCTGAGCTTCTCTTTCGACTGGACGCAGCTGGCCAGTGTTGGTGGATCGAGGCAGGACTGCGATGGTGCTCCACAACGCTATAGCTGCTGCCTGTGTAGGGGACATTGTAAGCCTAAGGGAGCTGGCCACAGCTGGACTTCTCACGGAGGCCATCGTGGATGCCCAGGGGGCGGGGCCTGTCCATCATGCAGCTCGTTGTGGTCAGCTGGACTGTTTGCGCTTCCTGGTGACTGAGGCAGGGTTGGCAGCTAATAGCAAGGCCCTGAACGGGGCCACACCTGTCCACGATGCAGCCGCCACTGGACACATGCGGGAACTGCAGTGGCTGGTGCAGAGTGCAGGATGCAGTGTGCAGGTGAGACGAATGAACAGGTTGTGGGCAGGGTGAATGGCTGATGTTAGGGGTGTAACTCTCAGTAACGATTCTTTAGGAGTCATTTGGGTGCATCAAGAAATCTCACATTTCACCACGATTCAGTTAATTAGATACGGTTTAAGTTTGTAGCACTGAATGCACAGATCAAACTAACAGAACTATTAGTGGACTATAAACAGTGGAATCAATATAGCAATGAGTTTTGTTATTATTTTTATGTTTGAATATGTAAAAATTAATTTACAGCCCAAGAATTTTATTTTGGCCAAATGTTTTTTCTTTTTTTCAATATTAGTGTAATTGTAGAATTGTGAATTTGATGTTGAATTGCCACTTTCAGATATTGTATAATGGGGTATATTGAAAAGATCATGTTGGAAGTACTTTAATTTATTGTATGAGGCATTTTGCGAGCAACCCTACCTGTGTAAAAATACACGACATTTTTAGTTTCTCTGATGGTTTGCAGGTTCAGACCATATCTTGCAGTGTTGACCACATCAGTGATTGCAGTAGGAAATGACTGTAGGAGGGGAGAGATCTCTGAGAACTTCGGAAGGAATCCTAGAGACTGGACCCCACCCCACAGGGGCCGAGAGATAGGACTAATTAACAGGGAGGCGATGGAGAGATGGTGGGGTGGTAAAACCCCACAGGAAGCAGAAGAGAGAGATAAGAATTTGTAGCATGTTAGATAGGAGGGAGCATTAGAAACATTAGGTTATATGTTTATTAACACACAAAATCATAAGAATTTGACGAAATGTCTATAGCAGCAGTTTATAACTGTTATCCATTTGTTTTGCTCCTGGTAGTTCTGCAGAGTTTTATTGCAGTTATAATCGGATCCACCCAATTCCTCCATTCTGATACTTCTGAAAGTGCCCCTAAAGTCATAATTTAAACCACATAAATTAATCTACATTGAATAAGAAATTATTAAATGTTTTATATGTTATTGTTATGGCTAACATGCTACTAAAAGTTGCGTAGGAGCATCCAGCACAACCTTTACCCATATTATCAAAATAGTGATGAATATGCAAGATTGTGGAAATTGTAAACACCACCTTGCCCTTGTTCAGTGTCCATTTTCCTTAGAGAACAGGCAAGCAGCAGTGCTGGGGCCATCAAGGACTACTGATAACGTGTGGGGTTCTTGGAGGGTTGTCCCATTTCGTAGAGGACGATTTCAACCACTACCCCTTGTAACTCAATTACAAGGGGCAAGGTGACACTCAAAAACAAGGGGTAGGAGTAAAAATAGGAAATGGGATTTGGCCTAAATATGTGAACAGATTGCAGTGAGAAGAGACAAAAAATTAGCTCTAGCTTCAATTTCTCATTTTAAATAAACATCAATAAATGCAACTTCTAGATGCTGAGCAGTGCAATTGAGACAGTGGACTAGTTATGCTACCACCAGAGACGTTATAAGGAAGGAGAGGATCAGTGGTCGAAATAAGAATGGGATAGCACATAACTCTCAACATGGCATCTATTTGAGAAGAAAGTCCTGCTGTTCAATAAAAAAAATCAATTAAGCTGCGAGCCCAACCCCCCAAACGCTAGCTTCCAGTGCTAACGTGAACAGTAAAGTGGCAATAGGAGTGCAGAGAAAAATGTGTGCTTGAAATTTCTGTAAAGAAAAGCAACTCTACTACACTGTAGAACCATAATAATTTTAACTTAAAAATAAGTAACTGGCTGTTTTAAAATTTCCACTAAATTGAACATCAAATAGTAGGTTGACAGAACAGCATGCGTTACATTCTGTTTACTCATTATTTTAACTCAGTGTTTTGTATGGCTCAGATTGGGTTTTTTGGTTTGGTTTTGGGCAAGAAGAATTTCAATGAATGACTTTTTGGCTATAGATAAATTATTTCTGTGTTAGCAGGACATCGGAGAGGAGACATGAAGAAGAGATGGTTCATGTGGAGAGAGAAGAAATGTGCAGAGGACTTTTGTAATAGCAATATTGGGGAAACATCTCTGAGATTTTTTTCATCTATTGTTTCCATGTTTTTTAAGATTTTGTTTGGAAGAAATGCCAGTCTACAATGCTGAATTGCTGCATGTTTTGTTGATATGTAAATCCTAATATTAAATAGTAAAGAAGCAACTGCACATTTTAGATTACTTAAAAAAAAATCTGGGGTGGCTAGATCCCTAAACAATTCTGTGGTGAACTAGGTTGAACCCCGGATCTTTACAGGCTCAGCCAATGTGCCTGGTGGAGCAAGAACCAGATACGCTAAACTAGATATCAACAAGGCTGTTGTATTGTGTTGATTGTAAAGTAATGCAATTGTAAAGTATTTCTGAACAGAACGGAACTCAAATGTTCCATGTTTAACTATTACAGAATTTGTGGATAAATGGTGGTGAATGAGTTCCAGTGTAAATGTAGCCGGTCTTGAACTTGCATCTGACATTTACAGTGTGAAAGCCAACATTTAAGGATCAATGGTAAAGCAACTTGTTTCTGATAGAACCTCATACCCTTATTTCCCTCAGCACACAGTGAGCTCATGTGCTAAACAACACTAGCATTGGTCAGTTCCACCTGTTCTAAGTATAGGCCTTTACATAATTCGGAGAATGGTTAGGGTCAGCTGCTGCAGGACAGTGTAAACGGTGTGCTTACATCACCCTCTCTCTTTCCGTATGCTCTTTGTCCAGTAGAGTTGCATGACCACTCTAATCAGGAGCAGATGGGGTGGAGGGGTCTCACTCTACCCTCCAACGCTCAAGCTGTTTACTGGAGCAACCCACAGCCCACAGCGGCCCTCCGGGACCCTGCTGCAGCTCTCTCTCACACTAATGCAAACCGGCTCTCTTAACCTCAACAACCCCTTGATCAAATTTATGGCCAGCTGGGTTGTATTAAAGTACACGTTTAAGTGCCTTGTTATCATTCACTAAAGCGATAACATTATTCCAAGTTGGTGGCCTTGCTGGAGTTTGTCAGAGAGATGTGGGTGAGGGCTTTTTTTGGTTGTTGTTTGAATTTTTTTTCTGCGTGGCAACATGAGGTCCAAGTTGTATGAGGGCTGAATAATTAATGAACAGATGAACATTTCCTTTACCTGATTAAATAAATGTGCCTCACCTAATTTGATTGCACTGGTGGAGAAGTGCTGTGGTGGCCAGTTTAGTGATTTGGTTTGCAGAAATGTGACAGTGAATGCACACTACAAGCAGTTGCTATGGTGCTGTTGTGAGGTGACATCAGTATATGATCTCTTTGTATCTGAATGTTCTTTTCAGTTTGTAGTTATGATACCAATCAAATAACAGCATAAATATTGGAACATGTTACAGGCTGACTGTTGACTGATTTCTTGATTTGCACACTAAGGCCAATATACTCACCAAACACTTATGTATGCCTATCTTAGAGGTACACTGTTACAGACTATAGCCCATTTGTTATCATGCACAGTGTATCATCATTCCTCTACCCCATTTATCATCAGTTTCTGACCGCAGGATCGCTGTTGAGCAGATATTATTTGGGTGGTGCATTCTCAGCACAATAGTGACACTGATGTACCTTGGTAGAGTGTGCTACAGTTATGAATGTACCGGCCTCAGCGGTGTTGCTGTGCTAATATCACTTCTAGGTTGAGAGTTCATGCCATGTTTATTCTGCCATACCATGAATTCAAAATATACAACCACATTGTTTTTCAGAATTCCTCTGCTTTGATTTAATCCATTTGTAAAACTAACAACATAGGATCTTATTTTCAGGAGCAAGACGCTGCAGGAACCACTGCGCTCCACCTTGCTGCTCGGTTCGGAAGAGTGGAGGCGGTCAGTTGGCTGCTGGCCTTTGGGGGCGGGGCAGAGCAGGAGACTGACTGTGGGGCTCTTCCTGCACACTATGCTGCTGCCAGGGGTGACCTTACCTGCCTGAAACTCCTGATTGGCCAAGCTCCAGGGTAGGAAACCTCACAAACCCAACACGCACTCATCTTATAAGCAAGCCTCACTACATATATGTTATCTGTCCAAAAGTTTATAGACATCTGGCTATTAATAGGGAGTTTGTCTGCCTTTGCTTTTGTAAAAGTCTCTACTCTTCGGGGAAAGCTTTATATTAGTTAATGGGATATTTTTGTGAGGATTTAATTGTATTGAGCCAAAAGAACATTCTACCTCTATTCAAATAGCTACTCTAAACCATTCAGCCGTCGTACTACATACTACCACTGCTGCTGCAGTTTCACCAACGGACATCCCTGAAGGAAAGGACATTGTAAAACAATGATGTAATGTCACATATGGCTAACAGAAAGTTTCTGTGTTAGTGACAGATTCAGCCAACTCTTTTTTTTTTTGTTGTTGATGTTAGCAGTGGTTTCTGTGAGTTAATTGGACAGTTCTGTCCTCACTAAAGTAAGTTAAGATCAATTGGACGTGATGCACATTACAGATTGTAACATAATGTGCCACGTCAGTGCCATATTCAGTTATATTTGACACTGTCAATGTTCCACATGATTAACTGACAGTGAAAGACACACAGCTTTTATGTACATTTCCCCGAAATGGACTACAGAGCCACACAAATGATGTCACCGTAACAAAGTGGTGCTGCTACCAAGACAGGGGTTTTGTAATTCTACTGTATATTCATTTTTACAGTTACGTGACTCAGCAAAATGTGCTAATATATTGGATTTGTAGCTACTGTGCCTGCATTGTCGCAAAATGCTTATTTCACAAAAGTTGCAACGTTTAGTGATTCTTAATCTGTTATTAAGGTGGATCTCTTATTTCGTTATGGCAGAAATAAATGGTGACTCAAAATGTTTTAAACACAACCAGCAGATGGTGTAGGTCTGCAATTTCCTCCCCATACTGTGCTCTGCTGCAGTTGTTGTTGAGCTCTCCTCCACTATACAATGCCCACCTACCTCTCAGTGAGAGCAGTGGTCAGTAGCATACGAAATCAGCACCTATAACCTGACCTTTTCTTTGCAGAGGAGTAACACGTATAGGGTATAACACGTTTTTTTTTTTTTTACTCTTCAGAGATATCCGAAGAGCTTGACACACTCTGATTTTATGTGACAAGACCACCGCAGAAATCACTAAAAATGGCTTTTTTGACTGTATATTCATATTCACAGTCTAAGTTGTACTAACTGATGGTTACCATACCTGCGTAGAATAAACACATGCATAGCAGTGAATTGCATCATATTCATATTAACAATTTTGATTAAATAAGGCAATTAAACAAAAAACTGGTGTATTATTCGAAGTTCAGTATTCATCATGTTGTCATATCTGCCTTCCTGTGCTGGCCCTCTGTAGCTTTTACTGAAACCTTAGGGCAGTTTAGAAAGGAGGCTTGTAGGCCATTTAACCTCTGTATTCTCTGGGTATCCTGATCTGATGACTCACAGGGGAACTCAGGTGTCCTGCAGGAAGTGCGGTCCATGAGTGATGTAACAGGAAGTAGGAGATTGGCACAACGTGGCATGTCCTGATCTTGTGCAATTCATTTTAGTGCTGCCATTTGACTTAGTGCCACTCTGGAGGAATAGACATGAATAATCATGTGATTTCACATGAGCTTTAGAGCCACATGAGCTTTCAGTATTTAATATTTAAAGTATTTAATGTTCAAAAAGGAAATCTACTTTAAAGGAATAATTTAGTGAAAAAACAAGTTTACAAACCCCCCCACTCCCCCCCACTAGACAAAACAGGTTTTTTGTCTGAACTTTGCATCTTTACTGACATTAGTTATTCATTTATTCGAGATTAGATATAAGATGATCAACTTGCATTAGGAAGGTGAAAGTCACAGGAAAAGAAAGTAAAAAAAAACCTGTTTCCAAACCTGGAGTTCAAAATGATTAAAAGTTATAAAAACTGGGACTTTTAACAACCATGCAAGACCTAGTAGACCACCAACACTGTCACCATCACATAAACAGTACTTAAAGCTTTCATCTTTGAGAGAGAGGAAAAAATCAAGATCCACTCTTGCCCCAGATCTGAAAAAATCCAGCACTATGAGTCTGAAAGGATGTGTAGCTGTCAAGTAGTTAAGTTTTGTATAGACAAAAAATGCATCGTTGGCTGCATTTGGAATTGCTTGGATTTTGATATATATATATATATATATTATATATATATATATATATATATATATATATATACCAGACACCAATTACACACACACATATATCGCTGCTGTCGGAACATCTCCAAAATGGTCACATTTACAGGAGAAGGAAAAAACATACATTACTTTCAATGTAAGTCAATGGAACATTTTTGGCCATTTATTTTGGTCCATTCTTCATGAAATTTACACACAATATAAAGGCCAACATGCATTATGTCAAACTGAAAATTGACAAAAATGGAGATACGAGGTTTCCGACAACAGCGATATATATATATATATATATATGTGTGTGTGTGTGTAGATAGATAGATATGTCTTCTGATTAGACACATCCCTTCCTGATGCTGAAAAGTGAAAATAATTTGGAATTAAATAAATAAACTGTGGTTCTTCACTTTTACCCAGTGCTATATATGCAGTGTCACAAACAACATAAGCATGCCTATTTAAAAATTACATCTTAAAACGTTTTGTGAGTGTGTGATTGGGTCATGCAGATTGTCTAATGCTCATTGACACTCACACATTAACTTTATAGCTCCAATAGAAAAAATAAAAACATACTTTGGACACCAAACATGTCTTGGCTGTTAATTCCAATGAATTCCATGAACATTTTTTTTTTCATCCACTAAAACACGCTTTTAATAACACTTTTTCCACTTGGGCCTTAACTCAGAAAGGCTCACGGTCTAGGGAGTTAATGAAATGGCATAGGAGAGGAGGGAAGTCAATTAATGCAGAAACTCATCTCAAGATGACATTATCAGATTCTAAGTGTAACCCTATCAATCTTCCACACTCTTCACTTCCTGCTACAGTGGATGTACAGATCCTTTATGCCTCAGTGGCATGATTACCATGTAAACTGAGACAGTAATGGATGGTTAGGGACAGATAAAGCTGTATATGCGTGCGTGTCTCTTAATGTTTGTATATGATTAGACAGACTGTCATGTTTCCTGTCTTCAGTGTCAGCAGGGCCTGAAAGATGCAATTACTTGCATTAAGAGTAAAAAAAACATCACAAGTGCAGCAGGTGTATAATGAATGAAGGCTGCAGCCAGTCACATGTCATTGCACACGCACACGGAGCTGGCAAATTGCTCTCTACTGTTACTGTACTTCAAGGTGTAGACCTTAAGTCCAGCACGTACAAGGGGCCTGCAATCTGATCCATTCTCGTTATTGTGGCTTTGAACATGAAGGCGAAGACTGCTGTTGAGTGAGACCCATAGAGAAATAAACCACAGAGCTGCAACAACTTTGAACAGTTGCAGCTTTTACATTCATATGTGTTGTGTTTCTCAAGAGTCTCGGCATTAATAATTATGTGACTCCCCACAGGCAGTAAAATCATGCAACAAGATGAGCAGTAGCAGAGATATGCTTGTGGATGGTGAGGTAAAACCCATAGAGCTCAGGATGTGGCTAAATATGACAAGGCCTCCAAACGCTCAGGAGATCCCTTGAACTTTACATAAACCCAGTATGATTAATAGAGAAGACACTGATTAGTTTTGCAGAGTATAATTCTCAGTGCTTAGCTATAGTCCCATTGAAGCAGCCATGATACGCTTGGAAAAGCACTTTCTGCCGGCTATATTTGAGCCACAGTTTGAATCAGTGATCCCATGTTTAGGTTCAGAAAGTGTATGTATCATGATTTTATATCTCACAACTTCTTTCACATATGGCAGAATCATGATTGGATCAGATAAATAATTTTCATATTGCTGGCCACATGGGTTGTATGGTCGAACGGGCGAGTGATGTGGCAGTGCAGAGAAAGTATAATGTTTTAACAGTGGGGTGAGGCCATTTGGAGGGTAAATGAAATGAGCCATGAGTAAAGAACAGAAATAATAATAGCTTGCATGTAGAGACATTTCACGCACTTGTGCAAGAGTTTCTTTATGTATGTTTAACCCACACTGTTGTGGAAGCGTCTTGTATTTCAGTGATTTTTATGCTAGCAGATATTATTTTATACTAAAAGTTATTGCTATGTATATGCTAAACATTATTGCACACCTTAGGCCATGATATTATTGGTAACATTATGCTAAAACTTTATTGCAAGTTAGTCTAAAAAGTTACTGCTAATTATATGCTAAAACTTAATGGCAAACTTTATACTAAAACATTATTGCTAACATTATTTCATATTGCTTACTTTATGCTAAAATGTACACACAGACAGATGGTTCTTCAAGGGTGTGTTGTGCTGGTACGAGTGGATCAGACACAGCAGTGCTGCTGGAGTTTTTAAACACCTCAGTGTGCTGGACTGAGAATAGTCCACCAACCAAAAATATCCAGACAACAGCGCCCTGTGGGGAGCATCCTGTGACCACTAATGAAGGGCTAGAGGATGATCAACACAAACTATGCAGCAGCAGATGAGCTACCGTCTCTGACTTTACATCTACAAGGTGGACTGACAAGGTAGGAGTGTCTAATAGAGTGGACACCACCACCACGTCAGTGTTACTGCAATGCTGAGAATGATCCACCACCCAAATAGTACCAGCTCTGTGAGGGTCCATGGGGGTCCATGGGGGTCCTGACCACTGAAGAACAGGGTAAAAGGGGGCTAACAGAGTATGCAGAGAAACAGATGGACTACAGTCTGTAATTGTAGAACTACAAAGTGCACCAATACAGTACGTGGAGCTGATAAAATGGACAATGAGCATAGAAACAAGGATGCTATGCCTGATGAGTGTATAGAGCCATGAACACTCAAAGAACCCTTTGCGTGAATAAAGCGTTCTTTGCGTTGTTAAAGGGTTCTTGAGATTGATGGAGATTGTGTTTTTATATGGTTTTATACAGAACCTTTTTGAAAAACAAAAACCTTTTTGGTGCTGTACAGAATCCTTTTCCAAAAGGTTCTATATAGAACCATCTACAGCACATTCTACATCAGTCTGAAGAACACTTTCATGATGCAAAGAACCATTTAATCATGCAAAGAGTTCTTTGAGTGTTCATGGTTCTGTATAGAACCATTTTCTTCCCTAAACAACCCTTGAAGAACCATCATTTTTAAGAGTATATTGCAAACTTTGTTAAATTTTATTGCTTAGTATAATAATTTTTTATTATTTTTATTTTATTTTATTATTATTATTATTTAAATTAACAGTAGGTTTCTGCTCTTCACAAGGTTAAAAACGTGTGCTTGTGTTAACCATTTTGGATTCTCCTCTCAGATGTGTGAACCGGCAGACTTTTATTGGAGCCACTCCACTGTACCTGGCCTGTCAGGAGGGTCACTTGCATGTGGTGGAGTACCTGGTGAAGGACTGTGGAGCTGATGTCCATATTAGAGCTCAAGATGGCATGACACCTCTGCATGCAGCTGCTCATATGGGTCACCATTCTCTGGTTGTCTGGCTGGTGAGATACACACACATCTACATACTCACACATAGACTTCCATTCCATAGTTTTGAATTGCAGTTCAAAAGTTTGGCATCAATGTTTTTAGTAATATAAAACCATTACATAAAACATTATGCTGTTCTGCTCTTGGATTTCAAACGAAGTCTTGTCTGACTGCACTGTTGTGCTTGTTCTTCTAAGGTCTCCTACACAGACATCAGCCTGTCCAGTCAGGATAAGGAGGGGGCCACTGCATTGCACTTTGCTGCCAGTGGGGGGCATCATTGCATCCTGGACAGGCTGCTGCACATAGGGTCAAAGATCATTAAAGACCACTGGGGTGGCACTCCTTTACATGATGCAGCAGAGAATGGTGAGATGGAGGTAAGGACTCTGAGGCTGTGTGGTTAGAAATCTGATAGCTTGCAACATTTTATCCATAAGGTCTGCTGCTTTAGCAGAGTTCTCTGATATATATTATATCTTAAAAAGCTGAAGTTTGAAGTTTCACAATGTGCCGTTCATTCTCCAATACAGTGGCTCCCAACCTGGTCCTCAGGGCCCCCAGATGGTCCACATTTTTGCTCCAACCCAACTTGCAACACATAGAGATGAAGGAAAAATACAGATTGTCTGGGGAGCCCTGAGAATCAGGTTGGGAACTACTGCTCTAATATATACAGACCATATACGGACACAATTTTTTGAAATTCAGCATGAACCACAAGCCTGACCATATTTCCATGACAGTACATTTCAGCCTGACCTGCTCTTGGAACACGGCACTATATGTGTAATACAGTCAGTTGACCAGTCAGGGCAGAGGTCATTTACAAATATTAGTCTTTAAGGCACAATAGCAAGAACAGGTTTTGGTGGATAAAACCACACAGATGTTGTAAGTGGAGTTAGGGGGAAAGCAATTAAATAATTAAGCAGCGCAAAACAACAGGAACTTTATTGCGAATAACTTTGTGGCTGTGATTTAGTCGCTTTCAGCTCATGTCATAGATCTTCACAGCTGTAATGTTGTTTACCTCAAGTTTTCTATTGCTTTTATACAACAGTTATGCAATATAAAAATCAAATAAAGGTGGATTTTTTCTATACTTACATATACTTTCTTTGCTGTGTCTCAGTGTTGCAGGGTCCTTCTGAACCGTGGAGTCAACCCTTTGGAGAGAGATGTGGATGGCTTCACTGCGGCTGACCTGGCAGAGTACAACGGTCACTATGAGTGCGCTAGATACCTGCACATGGTAGAGAAAGACGTAAGGCCTACTTATTATTCTTCCAGTGGATCATTCAGCTCTCTGATCGTTGCGCATTTGCTTTACTTATCTGTAAATACAATAAAGAGAAACTTCACTTTGTTAGCTTTATTTTATGTGTGTGGTCAGAAAATTAATTTTACCCTTAAAAGGTCTTTCTCCTTTACATCCTTCCAAGTAAATAATGCTGGCTGTGTGGCATTATCCCACATACTGAAGGCACTCTGTTCCCTACTCTAGGTGTATTCATGTGATCAGTTTGTATAAAGTCTTGCGTAGGGTGGTCTACGTGGTCACTTTTGATTGGTCATTTATCATTGTTTTTGCCATAGTACATGGTAAAAAAAATTTCTCCCTATCACTTACCATACAGTCATGCTGTGCTTTCTTAATGCAGTACTCTGTAAAAGTTTTAGGCACCTGAATGTCTTTGTTCATTGGTTCATCTGTTTGCTTGTTTGTTTGTTTGTTCATCTATTTGTTTGTTTTCATCCACACCAGCATTTCCTAGATATGTATCAAACAGTAAAGTAAATAAGAGCCTTACCTTCTTTAAGATGTTACCATATGAAATGTGGATAATGTGTTAGTGAACACAGTGAACCATGAACACAGTGTGGTCTACAACACTACCTTTGTAGAGCCTGTTTCACTCATTTTCCCTGCTTATGCTATTGTGTTAAGTTCTGTTAAAGTGGTTATCAGGGCGTGAGTGCTGGACAGAGGGCTGTCAATCACACATGTTTATACGAATGTCAGGACAAAGCCCAGACAGCTCCCAGATATTTCTAATAAGCATTTATTAAGCACTCTTTTTTTTATATTACTATCTTATTTTTTAAATAACTTTGCTGGATGTTAAGTGTAACACAAATTTTTAACATTTTGAATATTTTACACTACATTTCTTGGGACTTTAGAGAGTGCTGTTTCTCTAATGGGTCAAAGCAGCGTATTACAGTCATTGAAACAAAAGATTTTACCTCTATCACTTGTTGACTCGTGTTATTGTTTCAGAGATACTCGATACAGCCCTGTACGTCAGTTTCTGAATCGATTGCTAGATATTGTTTTACCGCTTGTTTGCATTTGTCTTGGCATGTTGACTAATGTGAGCTTTTGTGTGTTATTATTGGCTTCTCATAATATTAGCTATGATATTGTGCTGCTCATGACTATAATGGGCTTGAACTGTAATTTCAACTTTACTTGGGGGTGAAGGAAGCATCAGTTGCCTGCATCTGCCCTTAACAGTACAATAAAATCAGATTACAAGAAGTGCTCATTGGTTCAAAACAGTGTTCTAACTGTACAGGTCATGATCACAACCATTCCAACAAAAAGTCAAACAGCATTAAAAGCATCAGAAAGAGGCAGTGCTCACCCCAGGTAGTTTTCCTCCCATGCGGATCAGTTTCTCCTCACGTACGACCTGCATGGGAATCATAAGCCGCATATCCAGTTTCTCCGGCACTGCGACCCCAGGCTGCCCACTAACTCACTCTGCTTGTTTTGATTGACACCTCGGCTCCCACAGAGAGCTGGAGGCGGAAAGTGGAGGCAGATTGCAGGACGTTAGCGTGTTGTCCGGCGCCGTGTTTCTGATGCAGATCCGAATAATCTCAGTGGCTTCTAAGGGCCTCTAAGGGCGCTTCAGAATAAGGCCTTTTGTTTTGTGCGGTAAGCAAGATGTTCCTCAATTTGAGTCATGAATTTTTCAGAGGTGATCAGGGGTAATGGAGTTGGGCACGGCACACCCGCTGAACCCAATAGGAATAAGAAATGGAGTCCACATTTGGAGTAGGGAGCTGATGGATAAGCCCACAGGGTATTCTGCAGGTGTAGGCTCATATGCTTTCATTTATTGCATCTAACTGCACTTTTCTTTCTTTTTTTTTAAATCTTTTCTATGTGTCAAAATAAGTTCATGTGCTGCACATTTAGAAGAATTATCTTGAGACATACAGTATTCCCAGCTGTTTCTGCCGTTCAAAATAATAAAACCTCAGAGTATGTTTGAAATTTAGATAATGGCTCAGGTTTCCTCCAGAGTAGCGCTCGTGTGCCGAGGGAACTCTTAACAGAGTAATTCAGAATTAGCTATTTATACAAATTCTAAGGGTGCTGAATATCAGCCGTTGTCGAGCAAACATACAACGATGTGTCATAAATTGCCTTTGTGATAGACAAACTTTCACACTGTGTATTGGTTTGTCAGCTGTTGAATTGTGAGCATTCCTTCATACATCTTCACGCGTATGCCGAATGTAGGTCATTTCTAGTTCATTTCACTGGAAAGCGGAGTTGGAAGGTGGAACAGCAATAGCCACTTAAACTCCGCCATGTCAGAAATGGTTTTTGAAATTTCATAAAGCCTCAATCTGGAATCGATGTGACTGGCTGCAACAACAAAGACTTTCAAACAATAACGGCACCCTGTTCATATTTAGTGTTAGTGAGCTCAGAGCTAGAGCAGGACCAGCTGTGGTGCTGTTTCAGCAAATTCTGAAGCAAAAGTGAAGCTAAGTTAGACATAAGCTTTTCCCCCACTTGTGCCATAAGACTTTTGTGAGCCCACTGTGAATATCTACCTGTGTAGTCAGTATATTCAATAAATGGAATAAGAAATTATATTGTACTGTATGTAATGCACTCACATCACTTTATGGCCACTATGAGCTCCACCTACTTTATAGGTCCACTAGATATTCAGTCACAGACTGTAGCTCATCTGGTAACGTACACAATTTAGACAACTTCCTTCTCATTCATCATTGGTCAGTTTTCACCTCAGGACCACAGTTCACCAGATATTATTTGTATGTTGGATCATTCTCAGCACAGCAGTGGCACTGACATGGTGGTTTTGTGGCACTGGTATGAGTGTAGCTAGAAACTTTACACGCTTCAGTGACTCTGCTATGTGCAAAGTGGCTGCCTCCCAACCAAGAACTAATCAGGAACTGACCATGGATGAAGGATAGAGGATAGCTAACACAAATTCTGTATCCACACTGTTCTAACTGTACATCAGCAAGGTGGAGCTACAAGATAGTTGTTTCTAAAAAGTGGTCAGTAAGTGTGCAGTTTTCTTTTATGGGCCAGAATTTCGTTTTAGAGGGTCCTGGTAATAGGTTGGGGGTGGTGGTCAGCTAGGAAGCATCGCTGTAGCGAAGTTGAAAACCTAATTCACTGTAACTGAGTTATAAAAGTACCCCTCACTACAATAACCAGAGAAACAAAGACATTTTACACCCAAAACATACGATTTATGACTCTGCATTCAGCTGCCTAGTTACTATAACAGCTGACGGAATGCATGGCAGGCACTGGCACTGGTAACCGAAGCCTACCGCTTAGAGCACTAGGCGTACATGTCTGAAGAGATTTGTGTCTTTTTTCATACTGTTGAGCTTTGTTTATTTACTACAGTCAACTTTACTGTTTATGTAGCGCTCTAACTAGGTATGTAGTAGTCCATGATCCTACAATCTGCAGAAACAGTCTAACAGAGTGGTTAGAGTTAAGTATAAAACAGTTTAAAGGGGTTATTGTAGATTTTGGTGTAAATCTGCGATGGTTCACCACCAGTGTGAACATTGCCATGGTAGTAGAGGCCACCGGAAATAGATGAGGATCAAAGAAGAGCTTTGGTGGTCACTTTTATTTATTTAAGATGGAAAAAGGGGCATGGATGCAAGAACTTCATCCTGTACTGCAGTAAACGAATGGCATTTTGTAACATTTTCTTTGGATATCAAAGCACTTTCTGTTTGTTGAGCAGTTAAAACCCACCTACACCTCTCCTGCAGAGATTGTGTGTTTCATCAAGCAGATCTGTATGAGTGTAGCAGCTTCACTAGAGCGTAGCATAAAACAGTACGATGTTAAAGTGTAATGGGTGTTTTTAATGAATATACAGCCTAATAAGCAGTATGCCTTCACCACCTTTTTGCATGACCACACATTCTTCTGTTTTCATTGTACAAAAATCTAAATAATTGCATTCTCACCACGGTCACCTTGGCCATGGTCCTCCAACTAGTTCACACTGCTTGTCAGCATGAGAATGAATTAGTGAAGAGTCTGGCGCTCATATCTCGATGATTAGGGGGCCGAGGTGCCACCAAACTCCAGAAATAATCTGACCTCTCTTCACAATAGGGAGCTAATTAATGTTGGGAGCGTGGAGAGGCATCCGATGCTGCTGTTTGCACTCTTTACACTCTGAGCCTGTATCGGTTACCTTCTCTCCACTGGCCTGGCTCAGGTAGAGCTGGTTATGGGATCCACACGGCTCAATTTCAGGGTTTTCACCGTTCCAATGCTTGGAAGTGGAAATGTGATCCAGGAGCAGGGTTAGAGAGCAGGATGTTTGTTGGCCTCAAACGTGCATCTGATTGTTGTCTTGAGGTTTTTTGTCCCACTCTTCCTTTGTCTTTTCTTGACGCTGTAGCCAAGGGTAACCCATCTGTGCGGCACTATTGGCATTGGTGAACAGGCTAGATTGTATCTGCCTGCTAACACTGTCAAAGCAAGAAGTGACAAGGGATTGAAAATAAGAAACAAAGGATCAAAGAAAATTACAAATATAAAAGACATATCATTGACATACATTAGAGAATGTCAACTAGACAATATTCTGGGTACTTTTTGTACATTCTGGGTAGTTTTTTAGTATATGCAGTCATAAACAAAACTTTGAACACCCCTGGTCAAATTACTTGTTTATATGTTTAGTATGGCAAACATAAAATGTGCAGCAGTGTGTTCTTCACTTTGAAAATCAATAAAACATGTAATTTGACCAGAGGGGTATTTCACAAAGCAGGATTTCTCAGTTAGCCTGATAACTTAGGCCAAGAAAAACAAGCCTGTCCAGTAGAGGTGCTAAGGAGCATATCTATTGGTCAGTCCTCAAATTTTGGCTTAAATTATCCAGTTTACTGAGAAATCCTGCTTTGTGAAATTGTGAAATACCCCCAAAGGTCGCCCAAAAT